GTCCCCAACTTATTTCAGTATGTGTATTGCCAGAAATCTGTTTAGAGTTAATTGTATATTTGAGCATTTCTGAAGCTGTGAAACAATGCTATATGTGTTGTTACTAAAAAAGGCTTTTAGTTCATAATCATCCTTTTCATGAGATTTTTTCCTTGTTAACTATGATCATGTAATAATCATCAGATATTTAATAATGGCATTCATTGGTCCACATTGGGGGGGAAGACATTGTTACTGATTCCCCCTGTTATTTTGCTTTCTTATCATTACAACCACAGTTAAAGAGTAAGCTTTGTCAATCACTGCTAAATGCATTGTTCTCATGAAAGAAAGGCCTTATAATATATACTACATTTTTTAAGGATAACTTCCATTAGACTAAAAGCAAACATAGAAATCTGAGATAAATAATCACATGAAACAACATCACTTGACAAAACTGAGATAATTGGCAAGGTTATTCATATGGTTTTAAAGTGTAGAAAACTTTGCATTTAAAAATAGATCCCCAAGGATGCCAAATAAGCATTTTCCACATTGCTACAACTTTCATATGTCAACATTACTATAACTTAGAAAGATAAATCCATATTTTTACATTGTTTATGTGATAGAGAACCCTCTTTTCAAAGAAAAATCAAAACCACGATTTACTTTGATTAAATAACAGAGTAAAAACTCATCAGACTAAGTCTGAAATCATTTAAGCAAATTTAAGCTTATCTTCCAACTTGCAGTCAAAAAAAAAAAAAAAAAGTTACAGTTTATTAGCTCTTAGAATTTGTTTCTGCCAGGTTATGATAAAAAAACAGTTCTTGTAAATAAAATACTAGATAAAATTTTATTAAATTCTATTCTGCCAATTAATTGTGCATTTCTTTTAACAATGGAAAAATATTTGCATTTTGAAGACCAGCAACACATTTTAAATTACATTTTTCCTTTTCATTGATAACATTTCACACATTACTAATAAACATATCAGATGGTTTGGTGTGAAAATCCCCAAATTTCATAAGTTGCAGAACTACAGGGCATGGTCTTCATGCCATCAACAATCTGGTAGCAGTGAAAATTGCTGATGCTTCTTTCTTTACCCATGGTACACTGTGGTAATTATTTTCCAATATTAGATCTACTTACAGCCATTATCAACTGCAGTCTGCCATATGACATAACAGTATACTGCTGATTTGCATATTAATTTCAAACTGTTAATACTTCATCCATTTTCCAAATTATGACTTTACAATTGTATTTTTTAATGAACTTAACTAATTCTGAAAAAATTCAGAAAAGGAAGCAGTTCTACAGCATTTGAACAAAGTTGTGAACATATGAGTTCTGTTCTCTTTAATTAAATACGTAGCGTATTCGGAAACTAAGTACCGTTTTATTCTAGCGCCGTCGCATTGCTGTGGTAGGCGTCCTGCGCATGCGCACTAGTCTTTCTTGTTCACTGACTTTCAATTGTCGCCATTTTGGTTGCTCTATGTTGTGTTTTCAGTTTGCTGTGCACATTCAAAATGTTTAAGACAATTAGTTCTCCCGCTGACTGTGAGATTCGTGCCGTGATTAAATTTTTGAACGCGAGGAATGTTAAACCGGCCGAAATTTATCGTCAAGTGACAGAAGTTTACGTGAGTACGCGATAAGTGTGGAATGGTGAGAAAGTGGGTAAGAAGTTTAATGCAGGTCGAAACAAATGTCCACGCGAGGCTCGGAGTGGTCGGCCTTCTGTTGTCACGATGATTTGGTAAGGAAAGTTGATGAAGCAATTCATGAGAACAGAAGCTTCACAATGACAACTCTTTCAGAGGCATTTCCACAAATTTCACGTACTGTTTTGTTCGAAATTGTGTCTGACGCTTGAATTATCGCAAACTCGTTCCGATGGGTTCCAAAAATGCTCACTGATGTCAAAAAACAAAACGACTTATAGTGCCCTGACATTTCTCAGCGGTACAGTTATGAGGAAGAAAACATTTTAAACCAAATTGTGACAGGTGATGAAACTTGGGTGTGTCATTTCACATCAGAATCGAAACAACAATTGATGGAGTGGAGACACACTCATTCTCCGAAAAAACAAAAGTTTAAAATGACCATGTTATCACAAAAAATCATGTGCACCGTCTTCTGGGATAGGAAAGGGGTTTTGCTTACTGAATTTCTTCCCAGAGGTGAAACCATTAAAGCAGCATGATATTGTGAGACTATAACAAAACTAAGGCGTGCCATTCAAAACAAACGAAGAGGAATGCTCAGTAAAAGAATTGTGTTGCTCCATGACAATGCTCGGCCCAATACTGCTGGTGTCGCTCAATCGTTAATTCGACAGTTTCATTGGGAGCAGTTTGATCACCCGCTGTACAGCCCGGACTTGGCGCCGTTCGACTATCACTTGTTCCTGCACATGAAGCGCGATCTTGCTGGCAAGCGCTTAGGATCTGACGATGACACGAAAAATGCTGTGGAGTCGTGGTTATCGAAACTGGCGGGAAGTTTCTTTGACGATGGTATACAAAAACTGGTCACCCGCTATGACAAGTGTTTGATCATTGGCGGAAACTATGTTGAAAAATAGTTTAAGACATGCATTTTCATGTAAAAATAAAATTGGATTCGAAAAAATTGTTTTACTATTTTTTTTTTCAAAACGGTACTTAGTTTCCGAATACGCCTCGTATATTGAAGAGTAAAAATGCTGCAACTACCTGCTTAAAAATATTTAAGCGTGAATGTATTCCCAAATAAGCTTTTACCAAGAAAACGCTAAATAAACTAAATATAAAAATAATATTAAAACTAATTACTTTTATGCCAACTCCTGTAGCTAATTTTTATTTTCTTCAGCATTCAACTGCTACCTGTTAAGGTATGAACTGCATGAATCCTCTAAGGTATTTTGTGATCCTATAGATGTTTTACATATTGCTAGTAAATGTGTAAAAAATGAATGATAATCACCAGAAAAATACATACTTTTTATGTATCCAGAATACCTGATATATAAAAAAGATAAAAAATTGTAATGAAGGGCACAGAGTCACAAGCATGCAATTATTATTTACTTCCTTTATTTTTCATTTTCTATAAATGTTTTAAATCAAATGTTTGGGAAATTATAATCAAACCATTCCAACACCTTCTGTTAATTAAATATTAGATTTAATGAGTATTTTTCAATTCATGGTACATATCCAGTTGAAAGAAGGCACTTTCAGAAGAAAAGATAACTACCACAAAAGAATGTATTGGACCTCTAATGACATTTAGGTAAATGTGTAAGGATTTCCCCCTTCCTTATATTATACCTTCATGGTATAGTTGGAAACATGCTCAACTAACAATTGGGAGTTCCAGAAATCGAATTCCAGCACGAGCATTACCGATTTTTCATGTTTCCTCCTCTGAAATTCATCTAGTGGTACTTACACTAAAATATAGTAGACAATATTTCCTCACTACTTGGATTTAAGGACTGGGTTCCCTGCTTTCCAGACCCCCTTTTAGTGAAGGAGAATGTAAGGAATTTTTTCCTTCCTCACCACACGCTTTTGTGGTGTTATTGGAAGTACATCTGGCCACCAATCAGATGGTCCAGAGTTCAAATCTAAGCAGCAGCACTGCTGATTTTTATGTTTTCCCCTCCAAAATAAATCTAGTGACTCTACAAATAGTAGCTGTCAGTGTTTTGTATTTGACTAACTGTTCATCAGATTTTTTTTTTTTTTTTTAACATAGCCCAAAGCCACTTTCTCCATTAGCCTACTTTTTTCATATTTTGTATACTAGTATCAACATTAGATATATTATGTTTAGGTACCTTATTATCTACAAGATGGAAGAGAAAACAAGAATCATTGAACAAATGATTTTCTTCCAATCATTCAAGGTTGAAGTGCATACCAATAGTTAAATGTATGGATACAGTGTAACATAATGGATACTGTATAATAAAAATATTGCACATCTAGATTAATATATGTAAATAAGATAGCCTCTAATCATGTAGCTGCACAACCAGTAGATTTGTATAAATGTAGTTACACATTATTCTATCATCACAATTAAATTTAAATATTAATAAGCAAATCCATTCTGTTAAACTGTACCTGACAGGATAACCTTTGTTAACCTATAGCATCTGCACACTGTGGCAAACTCAAATAGTTCACAATTTTCTTTCCTCAGCTCATTTTCTCAAGATACTTTCATCTGGCTAACATAATTTATTATTTAACTATTTCACTCACATCCACTGCTTGCCTCACAACAAGAAAAGAATAATACAGATTAAAAGATCTCAGTAGTTACTTTTACTCGTACTATTTAATGACATATAGCATTCATGTTACACATATTATTTGACAATATAATATTGTGGTAGTTTCGAGTGTTAGTTCTTCAGTATTTATTCTGTATAAATCACTTCAGCTAAATGATATTCACAGAAATATTGAATGGCCCATTATTTTCATGATTTTATTTATTTATTTTGGAATATTACACTACTCACTATTATCGCTTTCTGCACTAGCAGTTGTTATAGTTAATGTTAATTTTCATTAAATCACACTTATAATTTCATTTGTACGCTTTTAGTCTAAATACTCTCACACAGTACTACTTAGTTTGGGCCTGAAGTACTGAAATTAAAAAGCACCAATATTTTGTTTTATACTTAAAAAAAATATTTTTAATAAAATTTCTTTAGGTATTGGTATATTAAAGAAAGTATCAGAGCTAGATTTCACAACTTTATATTCAGTACTGTCATGGCAGCATATGTGGAGCTCTAATATACACACTGAATATCACTGCAGTAAAGAAAATAGAGTATAAAATATATGCAGCCATAACACAGCCAGAAAAATAAGTCAGCATGTGTAATAACAATAACATAATCTCAAATATCACATGATAAAATCAAATAACTATTTTTAAAGAACCACTAAATAACTATACATAAGGGAAAAATAAATAACAAAATTTACCTTTCATATTTTTAGTTTGGCCATATACTCCAATGCTTCTCATAATAGGAAGATTAAGGGCTATGAAATGCTCATGAAGGCATACAATTTCTAAAAATTCAAATTTATATTCATGAAGGATCTGAAATAAAAAAGTATATACAAATGCAAGTAAATATAGATGAATAAACAAACAGAGGGGAAAAATTGTAGCTGTTAAATATTTCCTGATAGAACACTAAATAATTACATTAATTTTCATCTAACACATTTAATTTTAAAATTAATCTACAGACAAAGAAAAATTAAAATTTCTTCAATACTCATTTATTTTGATATGTGTTTGCTTAATAAGTATATACAATGGCTTACATCTGTTTTCAGACACATGTATTTTTGAAATTTATTTACATAGATCTTGTACTAAATATTGAAACAAAGGCTTCAAAATTTCTAATATATAATTTCCCCTTTACTTTAACCTTGTTTGCTACAAAATAAATATCATAAATTCCTTCTAATAAAATAATTTATGCAAAAAGTGTTAATCAGGAACTTGCATAATAACTCAGACACTCAAAGTTTTGTAGATACGTTTTAGTAGGTAATGTTTCCCTGCTTTAATTTTTTTTTCAGACTAATATATATCACAAGAATTATCATCTGCACTTGTATATTATTACTTGGTTAGCAAAATATGTTGTTCCATATCTAAAATAAACATCGTTAAGTTGTTACAATTGACGATAAGTTTTGTTAAAAATTAAATGATTCATGATTTTAAAGATGGATAAAATATTCAAAATATCAAACAAATCCTTGATGTAAAGCATTCAACTTTCTTTGATGTTATAAAATAATGAAAATTGTATGGAACTCTTAGAAGTGCACTGAAGTTTGGACCACATTGCAGGTTAACACCAAGATATCAGAGATTTATCTTATGAAAAATCAAATAAGACCCAGTGCTGTAAAACTAACAGCAGACTTAGAACAATGGTTTGTCATCATATTTAACCCTAAAAAATCTTTACAGTACATGGATACGCTGGACAATAAGCAAGAAGAAAATTCTTCATCGAAAAGAAAACAAGGTAAATACACCTAAAGTTCACAAATTCCACGATTTATGACATTGAAAAAATTCTGTATTTGAATATGACTCAAAATTTAATATATTTGGATCTGAAGAATGAACTATTGTGCGGCGAAACTCAAGAATTGAAACCAGAAAAACTTACTGCCTACTGTTAAGCACAGTTAATGATTTGGGAATTTTTCGCTATCTGTGGAGTGAGAATTTTAGTTTTTATAAAATAAAAAATGTAGATAAGTATAAGTATATAAATATTTTTAATTAAAACCTGAAAGTATCTGCAAGAAAACTTAAAATACATTCAAGTTTTCTCAGGATAACAATCCTAAATATTGAGGCCTAACCTTTTGTGGTTATTATACAAGCATCCTTAAGCTATAAAAACTTCTCCATGTTCTTCAGACTGAAATCCTGTTGAGTATGTAAAGAGCGAGTTGGAAAAAAAGAATAAGGAAACTTGATTCTTCTTCCAAAGCTCTTATGGAGCATTATTATTAAAAGAAACAAAATGGAACATTCCTACACGAAAATATTTGTGGAATCCATGACAAAGGACACGAAAAATGTAACTTCAGCTAAATGATATTCACAGAAATATTGAATGGCCCATTATTTTCATGATTTTATTAAATATAAACTGTTTGTTAAAAGTGTCTGAACACTTAATGCAAGTTCATTTTCAGAATGCTTCGAATAAATTACTTTTTTCACCAACAATATTTTGAATAACAATTTTGAAAACATGCAGAACTTAAAAAAGCTGATCAAAATATAAGTGAAAGAAAGTAAAGTCGTTTTGCTAATATTTAGTAAGTGATATTTTCAAATAAAACTGAAAAACACAAGTATCTGAAAACAAATGTGAGCGACTGCAGGTAGAGGTGAAATATAGAAAATTTTAAAAACTGAATGAATTCATTCAGAATATAAAAGAAGACTTTTCTTTTAATGTAAGCAGCATTAAAGAAACATTTTCTTTCACTTTCATAAAACCTACGGCTTAAAAACATTTTTGGAGCAGCAGTTATCAGGTAAAAAGGCTATCATTCAACTAACTTTTTTTTACTTTTGTTAGCCCTGTACTGTACACCTGTGGTGCACAGGGAGACTGTATGTGTTCAAAATTAAAAAAAAAAAAAAAAAAAAAGGGGGGGGGGGGTGAAGAATTTTTACATTTTGTCAGAAATTACTCATTCATTGAAAAAAATAATTCTACTTTCTTGAGTGACATATTTTAAATTGCTATAATTTAGTTATTACCATAAGGCTTCCCAAGCTCTCTGAACCTTTGCTTTAAACTTAATTATCACAGTATTTTAAAAACTACCTAAATACTTTTTAAGTTAATTCAATCTACAAACACCTTTTTGGAATATATCAAAAATTGCTTTGCAATCCATACTTAGGAAACATTTAGTTAAAAATATTACCATACATAGTAATTAATTACAGACAGAGGGGCACAAAAATGTGTAAATTATATATGTATGGATGTAATTAATGGTACAGAGTGTATTCTGGATATGTAGGTCATTTCATTGTACATGAATTAGTAGACACCTTTGACCTTATCACCATATTTTTTGATGCACACATGCATCCATTGGATCAAGATGTTTATGACATGGTGACACGATGACAGGTATGGATAGTATCATAGTGGTATAAGTTGTTGATGAAGGTCTCTACAACCTCTATGTTTCACAACATGAACAAGGTCCATTCCCCTAACCAAAAATCACAGGATGTTATATGGGAGATCGTGAATGAAAAAGAATGAAAAACATGTTGGTAGTGTCAACAATACATGCATTAACAAAATTTATCTCCAAAAATAACTTGCAAGGCAAGTAAAACATATTACTAAACTTACCTTTTAATTGGCATTTACATTAAATGGTAACATTTTTGTGGTCCACCTTGTATGCAAAGATTTATTGTTTCAATAACCACTTTATTACAGATATATAAAATTAGATGAAAATCAATCTTACACATGAATTGGAATTGGATTATCTACAGGAAAATTCTCAGTGTAGAACTTGCTGATACTTAAATGTGCTATTGGGAGATAAAATTATTTAAAAAATTGTCTTCTCTGCTTTGGGTTTGCTTTCTTAATGACGCATTTGCATCTTTACTGGTAAAAAAAGAGAATTAAATAAATGCCTTATCTATTACAAATCTGACTGCAACAGATTTCATTACAACCATTCAATTCATACTTCAAATGACCTATGACCTTCAATGATTAAATTATCTTCAATTCTATCTAAATCTCTCATCTTTTCTTCTTTTCGTCAAAATTCTAATTATATATAATACATTTGACAATTTATCTTACACATTTGTCTGTTTGCCACAAAATTGCCCTACATATTAAAAATGAAATAACAAATCTTTAGTCTTGAAACAATAATAATAATGATACAATTTAATGCTTTCATAAATTGCAACTGCAAAAAAGAAATTGCAATATATTTATTCTTTTTTTATCATTTAAATAGTTAGACGATTTTCATTAAATTTTAAACATTTATTGCTTAGGATGCATTTGATTATTTGGAAACCTATAGCAAATTCCTAAGTGACATTTCGCAACATATGAATAACTATGAAAACAGTTAAAATTCTCAATATTTTAAAATAACCTTTCAAAAATAAAAAATAAATAAATAAAAAAAAATCCCTGAATTACAGAAATTAAAACAGAAAATATAAACATTTGTGTAACCAGTATATGAAATCTAATAACCATATATCTACCATATAAGAAATGTTCAAACACAAATCATATCTGCTTAAAATGGAGATTTTAATCAGTCTACATAAGCAAATTAAAATTTTTATTAGAAGCAAAAAAATGCATGCATGTTAAAATAAAAAGTATTAAGGAAAAAAAAGAAAAGAAAAGAAAAGATAATTATACTAATAAAAAATAAAGTCATTACCTTGACATCGTTTGGAGTAAACTTCTCTAAATAACTTTTAATCAATTTAAAAACAAAACCACGATCCATAAGGGAAAGGCTTTTCTGAAATGTGACAATAAAGAAAGGTAATGCATAATTATGATATTTTCTAATGTGTAATAAGAGAAAAGTAAAGTACCAATGAAACTAAAACAATTCATTCTACAGAAACAGCTGTTTAATATGATCATATTTTGATCATAGGACATTTGAGCATGGAGTAAGTCTGCATTTTCATACAAAAAACATTTACAGGAGACAGCATACTTTTAAAAAGAATGCAAGGCTTAAATTTGCTTGCTTTGTTTCAATTGGCAAATCCTTATGTTTTTGAATAATATGAGGCACAAGTCCTTCCACAAGGCTTCGAATACATAACTGGTAATCAGCAGGAAATCTTTCCTGGCGAAGCATCTGAAAGATGAAAAAAATTATAATTTTATTAAGGTACATTTTAATATAAACTACACATGAATCAACCAATTTCTTAAATTAGGAATAAAAATTAAAGAAGGGCAGATACTTAACACAGAAACAATACCTGCAACAAAAATATTATGGACTACATTGTGACTATTAGAGTTAAAATGCTGTTAAAAATATTATCTCTTAAAATAGAAATAATATATGATTAGTAGGCTTTAAGTATTTCTCTAATAACAGGCAGCTAATTAATGGTACTGCATCACTTCACATGCAGTTTTAAAAAATACTGCTTCTAATATAAAAAAAGAAAATTACGAAAAATTTGCTCTGAGTTTATATACTTGGAACATAAAAAATATGAATCAAAATAATTACAATTAAAATCAAAATTTTATACATGATGTCAGTATTAGCAATATGATTTCTCTCTTTTATAATAAAACCCATTATTATGTCAAGCTAATTTATATATAAATCCCTGACCAATAACAAATAAAAAACACAACAGTAAATCATCAAAAAGCATTAGGAGTACTGTATTTATTACGTAACTATTTTAAGCTGCCATCATAAATTTCATTTAATTGATACTTCGATGTTCACTGCACAAAAAAAGGGGGGGGCAATTCTATATCTCCCGTTCTACTGGGCCAATTGACGAAATTTAAATTGCGTTTTCATGTCTCGAAAGCATGGCTTTTATATATTAGATTTATATATAGCATTGTTCTAACATACGTATTTTAGCATAAAATCGGACTTTTCTGAAATAACATACCAATTTTTTTTCATATTTCGATTCTACAAATCAAATTATGCCTAGATATTAAATTTTGTCAAATTTGGTGTGAAATTTACAGAGAAATTCAAAAATTTATCTTAGTGAGTTTTCTTCAGTTTGCAGCAAGAATAATTTACTTGGCAAACTTTTTAATGTATGGTAGCCTATTTTCCTTTCCCTTCCATTCTACAGGAGTGGAAAAAAAGCCACATCCTTCCTACCTTTTTACATTGTGCATGAGTGGGAAAAAAGTCACATCATTCCTACTTTCAAATAATTTTAACAAGTGCCTAAACATTTGATGTTATTATCGCTTTCAACAAATATGCTAAATTTCAAAATGCGCCAATATATATATTCACGTATACCTTCGGAAATTCTGAATAAAAAACTGTAATTTTTTGCCGTAATGCTTAGAAATACATCTACTTTAAGATGATGGTAAAAATTTTATAGGTTATAATTCAAAATTGTTTTCGAAAAATTTATAAAAATTATTTAAAAATACAAATTTTAAAAATAAATTGTAAAAAAATGGGCGAATTTTATTTGGAATGAGCCTAAATTTCGAAACGTGAAAGTAAAAATAATAAAAGTTTAATAAAAAAAGAGATATTAATAAATATTTACCAAATTCAATTAACATTGAGAAGCTAAAACTTTGAGAGCTAATTTTTTAAAAACTACTCGTGCGATTTTTACAAAATTTGATAATTTGGCATAATTGAGTCATAGAATCGAAATATGGAAAAAAAAAGGGCATATGATTTCAGAAAAAGTCGGATTTTGTGTCAAAATACCAATATTCGAACAATGCTATATATAAATCTAATACATATCCTAAGTCGCACTTTCGAGACATGAAAAATGCAAGTTGAATTTCGTCAATCGGTGCAGTAGAACGGAGATATAGAGCTGTTCCCCCCCTTTTTTTTGCACGATGTAGATTGAAGAAAAATATAAAATGGAATTTATTGAATAATTTTGAAAAAGATAATTAATTCACACAGTGTTCATTCTTAAAATCAAGTCTGTATAAAACTTATAGTCAAAGGCTGTCATGTAAATATTGGCATTGAAAATTAAGGTTTTCAACATTATCAGTTAATAAATTTACAAAACTTATAATTTCTAATCAACTTTAAATCATGTAAACGTGCCTAGGCATATTTTTTTATTCTAATAATAAATACTACTACTACTACTTGAGGAAGGGAATCCAGCTAAAAAAAATATATTTTTATTCCTATCTATTCACCAGAGACAGTACAGTGTACGCTTGATTATCCAGGCCAATGCTAGGAAAGCAGTTCACGGATAAATGAAAAACATGGATAATCCAAACTATCAATTTTCATGTATATTGTATGGTGTTTATTTCTCTAAAAAAATTTTTATTTTACTTTATTTTTGAGAACGTTTAATATTTGTGGAATTTCACTGCATATTTTTTACAAGTGCTATTTTATCACTGTATTCGAATCCCCTTTGTTCAACGAATTCCAATAAAGTTTTAACAGAAGTCATTGCTGTCTTGAGACTAATGTAATAGTCATATTTTCTTCACTTGTATTTTTAGTATCACTTTCTGCTTCTTCTGTTTTTGTGACATTTGAAATGATATCTACATCACTTAAGCACTGAAAGCCTCAGTCAAATTGTCTCGGTATTTCCCAATCATTACGTTTGATGAATTTTACATTTTTAATTTTTCGGCATACAGCTTCAATTATTGCCTCGACTTCTTCATAATCAGATGAATCTCTGACTTCTAAATTAGGAAGAATCTTTCTCTATGCTTGCAATGTTTGTTTTTACACACTTTTGTACACTGCACTGAGTGTGCAGGTGTGGGCACTGCCATGCACAGATAATCAACAATACACTGTAGTTTGTACCTGATTCTCAGTGTCCTGAGAACCAGAACACTCAAAGCTTTCATACTTCAGGAACAGAGAAAAAACTTGCTCTTATTTTAACAGAAAACAATTTTTAAACCTTAAACAAGGAAAAATAAGAACTTTCTGGCATTATCGAAATATATATTAATGATTCACTTTAGTCTTCTTTTATGGAAGAGTAGAACCACAGAAAATTATATAACTAATTGTAATTAATTTTTAAAATACCTATGCAAATTTTCATTTCAAACACCTAAATTATTTCCTTATAAATTTTGGTAGTAATACAAATCCATAGAGGAATAAAAATTTTTTAAATTTTAGCTTCTGTAATATAGCTACCTAGACATAACAGAAAGAAAGATCAGTGTTATTAATGAAAACTTTACTATAAAAACTGTTTTCTGATTATAAAAAATTTGATTACTAGTAGTTAATTGCACTAGTTTACAAAAAAAAGTTTATATCACATTTTTAATATGTCTTCTAAGAATTCCCTTCGTATTATAACTCCCGTTATCTAAATAGCACCAGGATCACTTTAAATTGGCAACACATTGTTAAGAATTTTGTTTTTAGATAGGTAATTTTTAGCGAAATTATAAGTAAAAATGTTGTATTTCTTTTGTATAACGTAGCATGAATAATCTAAAGAAAAGCTATGCCAGAAAAGTAAGAATACAGTGGCAAGACCATCTAACATTGAGTAAAGGGGTATCTCAGTAATTTGTCAAGATATCACCAAGCTGACAACTTTGTTGCCAAATTTGATAAGAACCTGCCAAAAGTCGCCACATTTGGCGACCATTTGGGTCCGGTCCCTGTATCACTTCAATAAATATTTAATTGAATAAATATTTAATTGATATTATAAATAAATATTTAATTGATCATTGTCAAAATAAATATTTAATTGATCATCATCAATAAATATTTAATTGATCATTGATTAGATGTAACCATAATCAGACCCTCATATTGCTTTCCAGTAATTTCGAGAAGCAGAAAGTACTAGAAATATCTCGGTGGCCGGTTGAAAACTATAAGAGGCCGGAGAGATAGTATCTGCTCTCAGTTGCTTAGTTATTGTTGCTGAAAGTCTTTCGTTTAGCGTGAGCTCGATATATCCAAGTTAGCTTTCTCTTTAGATGCGCTTTGTACTGCCTTCTGTTTAACACTCTTAGTAGTTTAAAGTGTAACTACTGATTGTACTCTGAGACACAGTGAACATCTGTCCGAGGATTTCTGTGGAAAATTCGAGAACTTTAAAGTGTTTCCTTTGATAAAAGTAAATTTTATTAACCTGTCATTGGACCAGTGTGCGTTCAATCTATTACGAACTGGTACACACACAAACCATCACCTAATGGCTAGGAGTCCTAGCAGGGTCACTTACAGTCTGCTTATGAAAAGAGCTCAGAATAGGCCATATGTTCTCACTGTTACTATCATATTTTCTGTCTTTTATGAAAATGTCTGAAAATATGTTAATTAATTTTATTTCAACAAGAAAGTGAAATCTTAATTAAAAATCAACGTAAAATCTTAATTAAAACACAAAACAAAAAAAACAAAAAAATTCTTTTTATTTTTTTAAAATTTTTTATTTACCTTTATTCTTTCTGATGACAGCAAATGCTGTGCAGTTGACTTGCTGATTATTTGGAAGAAAAACCAGGAATGACGAAGAAATTTATTTATCATTAAAAAATCTGTATTGGCAGGCTTTAGCATGATATTTAGAGACTTGACTAATTCTTCATGTACAACTCGTTTCTTTACAGTCAGTTCCTGAGTTTTGAAAACAAACTAAAAAAAAAAAAAAAAAAAAAAAAAAGAAAAGAAAAGAAAAAAAAGAAAAATCATTTAAAATACTCTTAAAAGGTAAGAATAGAATACAAAGAAAATGGCAAAGAATATGCTTTTACAAACTTAAACCTATTTTAAGTTTGTAAAAGCTAACCTTTTTAAAGTTTATACATATCTTAATGGATAAATTGTATTTCATATCAATTTGTATTTCTAAATCATGAACTATTAATAATCTATTCCACAAGAATGGATGGAGAAAACAAAGCTTCCCCCTTTCTTTCTTTCGTTCCAAATCCTTTAGTCATGCATATTATAACATGAATGCACTCTCTTGTTTGAAGGATTTTAGTCAATCACATTCTCTGAAATATTAAATACATTTTAGTACATTCAGCCTCACATGACCCACATCCAAATTCGAAATTTAAACATGAAAGCATTCTATTGTAATAAACCAATGATTTGAAAATAATTTGGCTCAATAAACCTCACATATTTCTTCAACTTTTTGTAAAATTCTTTATTATATATTACAAATCTAAATTTTAAGTATTTCAGTTACATGTTTCTGTCTAAATCCTATAAAAGTAATATTTTGTTCTGAATATGTTGTTAGAAGACGTTTTGTTTATGATAGCAGCATTAAGCTAGAACATATTTAAAGATAGAAAGCAAACAGCTATGCAAAAATTTATTATATACACTAATCCCAAATCTCTTCATTATTTCACAATAACTGCAGAATTTTTAAAAAATAAAAAAGCTAAGAGTGATAATAAGATTTAGATTTAATGCAAATACATATGCATATAAGTCTAACACTGAAGAAAGTGGGATAGCTATGGTTAGTATGAAGATGGATTCATGATTCAATGATTTATCTCCATCTAAAAGAATGCATACAGAATGCATGAAATTATAAACAGAAAAGTACAAATACTTATCTGCTACTTAATTTTACAAAGATCAACTACAGATTTCATTGAAATTATCAATTTTCTATGCATATATTATGAGTAAAAATCTCTAATACACAATTTCTGAACTTCTCTGAAAATATCATGCACATTCTAGAAAGACAGATTCAGCAGATCATCTCTGAAAGAATGCTAATGATGATTTATATGGCCATACTATTATATATTTATATGAATACTTTTAAAAGTGTTAAAGTTATTTAAGAATACCTTTAGATATTTAAAGACAGCTATATTTCGTAAAGTAATAAATGATCCATTACGATAGATTTGTCATCCATATACATCTCATGGAAAAAAATGATGGAAACATTTAAATCACAGTATATGAACATCACAAAGAGATTGTGATGTATAATTTTAAATACATGTGTAAATACAGTACAAAGTCTGAAATCCAGACATCCATTATCCGGAATGATCCAAAAACTAGACCTCAAAGCCACAAGCATTTTTTTGGGGGGAGGGGGGGCTGTATGTTTTGCACATGCGCATTTGATTTTTCCTTCCATAATAAAACATGGGGAGATTTTCACTTAAAAATTTCGATTCTTAATTTCACATAGGCACTACATAAAATATTTCGTTATGGAAAAACAATTATGTAAGCATAAATTTGTGAGATTAATAATTTGGCTCCGTAGGTGAGTGTCTGCTTGGCATACATCTCAAACGTTCCATTCTGAAACCATTCACTTATTTTATACCCCTGATGCTGACCTGGTGAGTCATTATTTATTATATTTTGCTTTTATCACCGCATGTTTATCAATACATGATAGCTTCAGTAATAACTCATGCAGTGATGTCTAAACTTTTTTTTTATTTAGTAATTCAATAACAAGAGTATGGCAACCTTTTATGCTAACATTACGCTTGGGGATGATTATAGATTTTTAAATGCTCTAAGAAATGTTGAAGAACAAAAATTCAACAAAAATTTCTTTTCATATGCTAAAAATAGATTTTGTTAATGAAACTCATAGGCCATTACATTTAGTGCTACTTTAACTAAGAATAACTAATATGCTATTCACCATAAACCGAGAAGTGGTGACAGAATATGTCGGCACCGGACGGCAGAATTTAGGAAAGATGAAATTTTTAAAATTTGGGGAAGCTCCGAGGGGCAAAATTAAGAGATGAGAAGTTTTTTATGATTTAGGGAAAGCACTGGGATGCAAAGTTTAGGTGCGGTGAAAATTTAGAATTTAAGAAAGCGCTTTGTAGCAGAATTTAGGACCCTTAGAGACTGCATCATGCGGTATTTAGCACCGGCCCTAGATAAAGCTTTAAGTATATGTGGGAATTTATTTATTCAGGACTCAGATTAGTTTTAAGCATGTGCAAGAAATAAACTTAGGTATAGTAAATAAGGTATAGTAAATAACTAATACAATTCAGGCTTAATTCAGTACGCAATAGGAGCAAAACAAAATTTAGCGAAACAAGTTAGCTTTCATCGCCAATCTTGTGATAAACAGCCGCTAATGTATCACAGATGCTATTGAGCTAGGCTATAATTAGTGGACTGCGCTGCTCTCTAATCTTTTAGTTTGATCCAGCTTGTCATTTTTTGCAGACTGTTATTATTACGGCAATATACCCTTTAGATCATAATTGTTCTTTATTTCATGCATTACAATTTCATATTTTTAATTGTATAATTTCTGCATGCCATCTTACCACATTTAAACTATGATCTAATATCCGGAAAACTCCAAAATCTGGAATCGCCATAGTCCCGACGAGTCTAGATTTCACTTTGTACTGTATATAATTTCCTATTATTTCTGACATAGATAAATAATTTTTATGTATTTCTTCCATAACACTTGAAAAGTTTAAAACTATGATAAAAGAATGATAAGAAATTTTTTATTTCATAAACATGGGACATATATTTCCATGTTATTCAATCTATAGCATTTAAATATAAACTTTCGTGCAGAACTAAGACTCATTATTAAAAAATAATTAATAAATAAATAACATACCTGAACATAAGAATGTAGTATGTCATTTTTTCCAGCCTCATGAACGCCATGAACAATATGTATAAGTACCCGCACAGTATTCAATGCAACGTCTTCATTTGAAGTTATCACCAAGAGACGGAATAATTCATTTAATAAAGTTGGAAGGAAGTAGATGATTGTGCTCATATCTACAGCATGAAGTGTCTGTTAAAAAATCGAAATATAAATAAATCAAAGAAAATTACACTTGAGAATTTTCTTATGATTTAAACATAAATAACTTCTTAAAATGAATGCGAGAAATACACATGGCAAAGTTTCATGAAAAAATATAGTTGAGTTACCAGCAACAACAAGGATTATATGCTAAGTGGTCTTTAAAGAAAAGGATCTTTAAAGACCATTATAAAGGAAATATTGTAAAATCAATAAAAAATTTAAAAACTCTAAGCATATTTTTTATTTACCTCTTTACGAAACAGATTAACTTTCTGTCTAAATCCTTTACAGAAATAAATTATTCTTTAGAGACTTGTAATTGTAAAAACAGCTTTTACCTACTCTGAATTTTGCATGATGATATTTACATATTTTTTCAGTAGCAGAAATAAGATGTCTTTTCTATATTTATTTTATTGTATTTTAAAATAATATAAAAAATAATTTTATTTTCAGATTAACTGTCTTCTATCAAACACTAGAAACAAGCAACTGATTTAAAGTATAAAAAGCAAAAAGGAATTTCTTCTTCAATATTTAACATTTTCATATAAAATTCATTTAATAACAGAAATTTTACTATTTGGGTGGGGAAATGCATAATAAAGTATGCACATTAAATCAGACTAAATTTCAAAATATAAAAATTAAATCATTTTACCTTGTAAGATATATTATACTGCATTTTAACTATAATCAATTTCAGTTAATGGGGCATGGTTAACTACAGCAATTATTCATTTAGACATATTTTACAACAAAATTTTAAAAATATTTTTATTTATGCAGAAAAGAAAATTTTACCACTCCAATAGAAACAACATAGCTACTATGTCCTTCCAAATAAGATAGTCATATTACAAAAACAGATTAAAATGTTGAAAAATCCTTGAAATAATTGCATATTATATTCTCCACAATAATATTGGTAAGGTCACCACCACTAGTTTTTAACACTAACAATAAAATTCACACCACTTTATACATCAATGCAGACTGTAAAAGCTGTTGTTGCTGTTGGGTACATCTTCTTTCTAGTCATTAATTGCTTTTGCTATTCTTTAGCCACAAAAGTAATTCTACTCATAATGCACTAAATTACTGTCTCAAACTGATCAGTCTGTGCATAGCTACAGGTAAATTTATTTAGGATTTTTAATGTTATGCTAATGTTCTCAGGAAAACAATGATTACTCAAAGCCTTTTTTTAATAAACTTCGAATTGTAATAAAAATTTTATTCTTGGACTCTACCAATATACCATGCACAGATGTATGAATGGCTGGAAAAATCTTATATCATAACATCAGTGGGAAAAAAATATTCTGTCTAATAGAAAAAAAATAAGATGAAGACTTCAAAGTAAGATTACTTTTTTATTTCTCGAAAGAAAAGAGAACTGTGATAATAAAATGCATATTACATTCCTCTAATAACACTGACATGAGGTTAAACTTTGCCTAATTATTAAACTTAATAGAGTTTTCTGTATTTATTAAGGACATATATTTTATAATAAAAATGTTTTAATATCAAAATTGGTTTTTAATTTTTGAAAGAATTTTTCTAAGAATTTTTATTTTATTTTTTAAAAATAGCTAATTAAAGTTTTCATTGACAACAAGCATACATTCAGAAACTGTCATTACATGTATTGGCAACAAAAATGGAAGAATTAAAATTTTTCTATTAAACACTTTTTCTTTCGTCCTATAATTCACAAGAAATATATAAGGAAGATTTGAAAATATTTAACTGGTGTTTCACACTTTTAAAAGATATTAAAATCAGACTTTAGTAACAGTAAAATTAGGCCAAAATGTTACACAGTGTAACAGCTTTAAATAGTATTAAAATCTTGTAGTTTAAATATTTTAAATAGATGAACATTAAGGTATCTGTGAATGGCAATATTTGAAACCAGACTCGAGTGCATGGTGCGACTCTCACATGAAGAATGTAATTTATTTTTTAAATGCTAGAATTCTTTTTTCTTCTTGTTTTGTATGTCGCCATTTTGAGTGCTAAATAAAGTTTTTTCTGTGTTCCATCATTGGAGTTGCTTCATATTGCCAAAGAAGTATCACAGTCATAATTATTTTGGAGGCACTGATCGAGATTGAATAATCGTGCATATTTTTATTTTATTAGTTCATCACTGAACATAATATTAGTGATACCAGATTATTACTTCCTATTAATATTGAATTGTCTTATTTTATTACTGTATTGGATATTATTTTTAATATTCATTTTAGTTGTCCAGACGGTAGATATATATATTGCTCTATGTTGTTATTCTTATTTTAGTCACAATTAATGTGGTAGAGAGAATGAACTTCATATAATTTAAATATTTCATTTTTGAGGTATACGTATTTAACAGAGCATTTAATTCCATGATTCTTGACTGCATTAATTAATTAAAGTCATTGATGTGAGCTATTTTGAGGAAGTATAAAAGAACACAGTGTTCGTTAATTTTAAACATAGAAACAATGCCTTACTTAAGAAGAGCTCGTAAGGAAGATTTGCAAAATCTTGCGGCTGAACTGGAAGTTCATGTGACTGCAGATTTGAAAATAGTCAATTTAAAACAGAAAATTGTTGAAACTAGAGATTATGATGAAGTATTCGTCAAAGGAGTCTTAGACACAATAATAGAAGAATGGAAAGAGAGGGAGGAAAGAGAAGAACATAGAAGACAGGAAGAAGCAGATAAGGAAAGAACAGTATGAATTAAAGAGATTAAGACTTGAAGCAGATACAAAGTCTCAAAATACCGACAGATCTGGCCGAAAACGGAGCTGCGTCACTTTATGCAGAAATTCGATGACAAGAAAGGAGATATCAGTCTATATTTGCTATTGTTTGAAAGGCAAGCAGAATGGGCTCAAATTGATAAAGAAGAATTTGTATCTCATTTACTAGGACTACTTCCTTACGAAGTAACCCACTTAATAGCTAGAGAACCCTCTGATAAAGCTAAAGACTATGAACACGTGAAGAATTTATTGTTAAGACGGTTTAAACTAAGCCCGGAAAAGTTTAGGCAGAAATTTATGAAGCATCAAAAGAGTACCGAATCCACATGGGTGGATTTCAATTATGAAATAGAAAATTATTGCAAAGTATGGGTGACTGGTCTAGGAGTTAAGACTTTTGATCAGTTGCTAGAGTTGATGGTGATTGACCAACTTAAGCGTCGAGTTCCTCCTGAAATTCGAGATTATTTTCTTGATGAGTGGGTAGAGATGATTTCATCTAAAAAATTAGCTGAAAAACTTGATGCCTATGAAAACATTTGCGGAAACTTTCAAAAAAGGCCTGTAGTGGATTGGCAGAAAGAAAAATACAATGCACTAACTCAAGGTAAATTGAGTTCAGATAATAAAAATAAACCTGAAAAAAAATTGTAATCAGGATTTAATTCGCAAAGCTGGTTTCATAGACCTAGAAGTCCACGTCAAGATGATAAATATGAAAAACGAAAGACGCCACAATGCTATCAGTGTGGGTCCTGTCAACATTTAAGACCCCAATGTCCAAAACTTAAGAATAGTACTGAATCTCCTGCTAATCTTAACCAGAATTAGTGAAAAACCTGAGGATAAATTTCTATTACCTTATACTAGTATGGGTTACGTAAATGGTCATAAAATTCCTATATTAAGGGATTTATTGATATAGTTTGTCGCAAATACATCACGCCGGAAATGCTGACAGGTGAAAATGTGTGGGTGCAACAGCTAATGGCTGTTTGCACTTGAATCCAACCTGTTTACCATTGGCTGAGATCGAACTAAATTGTGATCTTGGGCGAGTAATAACCAAAGCTGCCATTATTAGAAATGAACTCGACAAAGGAAGGTATTTATTAGGCAATCGAACTTTTGCACTGTTGAATAAACACGGAAAGGAACCTGATAGCTGTCCTCACCAGGTTAATGCTGTCTCTACTAGAGCTCAAAAGAAAAGAGAAATAGCTGAAGAGAAGATCTTGGAACCGATGAAGGAAGAAAATAAAGCATCCAGAGATGTTTTTGAAGAAGAAGATAATTTACCGGAACTAAATACGGAAGATGAAACTCTCATGAAACTGGTAAACATTGACTCAGAAGAAGTTGCACAACTTCAACTTGCTGATAAGGAACTGTCTAAAATCATCCAAGAAGTTAAAAAAGGTACATGCAAAAATGAGAACTATAGTCTGACAAGAAAAGAGCTTTTAGTTAAAAAAACAACGGATAAAATGGGCCTTGAAAGACAGCTTGTAGTTCAGAGTCGTAGCTAGGGTTTTCAGTGCCCAGGAACAACTGAACATTTCGCGCCCCCTACTGCTTGCCAAGGATGGAAAACATTTAATTCTAAAATGTCGTAACATCAGTTTGGCGCCCCTTGGATTCTGCGCCCGAGGACAGATGCTCCCCTTGCCCTCCTCTAGCTACGCCCCTGTTGTAGTTATACCTGAAAAACTCATGCCGTCAATTATAAAGATGTGCCACGAAGGAACTTCTGGTCATTTGGGTGTCAAAAAGACCAAAGACAGACTTGCTAGATATTTTTACTGGATGAGGTGTTACAAAGAAACTGAAGATTTTGTAAGAACCTGTGATGCTTGTCAGCGCGCTGGAAAAGGAAATAACAAAAAGAAGGCTCCAATGACATTAGTACCAGTAATTTCCAAAATATTCACTAAAATAAATGTCGATGCTGTTGGTCCGCTACCTATTTCAAAGACTGGAAAAAAATATATTATTACAGCTCTGTGTATGTCGTCCAAATATCCAGATGCTGTTGCGGTGACAGACATTTCTTCGCCATCTGTGATTGATGCTTTTTTGCAGATTTTCGGTCATATGGGTTTCCTAAAAGTAATCCAAACAGATCAGGGGACCTCTTTCGTTAGTGCTTTGACAGAGGAATTTTTGGAGCGTTTTGGAATTAAACATGTAATAAGCTCTGTGTATCATCCGCAGAGTAATCCCGTTGAGCGATTCCATATAACGCTAAAAAGGGTGCTAAGAGTCGTACGTATAGGCGCAACTTTGGATTGGAAGAATTATCTACCATCAGTTCTTTTTGCTCTCAGAACAGTCACACACGAAAGCACTGGTTTTACACCAGCAGAATTAGTTCATGGTTAAAACCTACGAATGCCAGTCACTCTACTTTATGAGCAGTGGCTAGAACCGATTGAAGAAAGTAATAATGTTGTCAGTTACTTTTTGAACTTATTAATCGAATGAAGAAATGCCAAGAACTTGCGGTGGAAAACATGAAAGAAGCTCAACAACGGAGGAAAACATGGTACGATCGAAACGCAGTGAAAAGAGAATTCGCTAGAGAAGATTTAGTTCTTGTTTTATCAACGAATCGTCAAAGTAAATTAGAAGTACAATGGAAAAGACCTGGAAAAATAGAGCAGAAAATTTCAGAAACCAATTATATTGTAAGTTTTGAGGAACAAAATGAGCCAAATCAAGTATATCACATTAACATGCTTAAACCATATTACAAAAGACCAGAAATGATTAATATGATAACTGAAGTGGAAGGAGACTTAGAAATGGACATTCCTCATTTACCTTCCAATCCAAGTATATTAAATTTCTCGGACATCATAGAGGATAATGAACTCGAGAAAAGGTTGAAACCCGAGCAAAAAGAAGATTTATGAAAGATTTTATGGAAATATTCTGGTTGTTTTTCAAATAATCCTGGACTAACAAACTTAGTTTGTCATGATATTGAGCTATTAAATAACAAACCAATACAAATAAAGCCATACAGACTGTCACCCCGACAGACTGAAATTCTCAAAAAGGAAATCCACAAAATGCTCGATCTTAAAATTATAGAGCCGGGAGAATCGGACTATACATCTCCCATGATTTTGATAGAATCTTCATCAAAGGATCCTCGGCCTTGTATTGATTATCGTAAACTCAATGCTGTTACTAAAACTGAATACTATCCTTTGCCTAATATTGAAGAACGTATCGAAACTGTAGCAAAAGCAAAATATATTACCCTATTAGATTTATCTAGAGGCTACTGGCAAATTCCGTTAACAGAAAGAGCCCAAAGTTATGCAACATTTGTAACTAGTTTTGGAAGTTTCAGGCCTCTATGTTTACCCTTTGGATTAAAAAATGCCCCATATTTTTTTAGCAAAGTTATGACTAAAGTCCTGACTGGATGTGAAGGATTCACTGCACCATACTTTTATGACACTGCCATTTACTCAGAAAACTGGGAAGAGCACCTTAAAAACTTAACTTCTGTTCTAGAGAGAATACAGAAAGCAAACTTATGACTAAAACCATCAAAATGTAAATTTGCACAAGATCAAGTGAGATACCTAGGCCATGTTGTGGGACAAGGACAACAAACCCCAGATGAAGTAAAGATCCTGGCTGTGAAGGAGTATCCTACACCTAAAACCAAAACAGAAGTACGTGCTTTCTTAGGACTGGTAGGGTATTATTGCGAGTACATACCGAGATTTTTGGAAATTGCTTCACTCCTCACGGACACTTTGAAGGGGGTAACAAAAAAAGGAAATATACAATGGTCTGAAATATGTGACAAAACTTTTAAAAATTTAAAAGAGTTGCTATGCAAGAAACCAATTCTGTATGCTCCCAACTTTGATAAAAGGTTTATTATACAAACCGATGCCTCAGACAATGGCATGGGTATAGTACTATGCCAATTCGATGATGAACAACGTGATCCTATCTTGTATATAAGTAAAAAATTTACTAAGTTTGAAAAGAATTATTGTACTACTGAAAAGGAGTGTGCTGCTATCATCTACGCTATCAAGAAACTGCATTTTTATCTGGATGGTCAGCACGAATTCTTGATTCAAACTGATCATAACCCTTTGGTCTGGCTACAATCCAATCCAAATGTAACTCTAGATTGATGCGCTGGGCACTCTCATTACAACCTTACAATTTTAAGGTAATTCATCGCAAAGGATCTTTGCACAAGAACGTAGATGTTCTGAGCAGAATTAAGTAATGTAATAACTCTTAGTGTATGTAACCACGTTCAGAATTAATTTTATTATTTAATGTATGCTCAACTGATGTATTTGAACGTTCTCCATTTTTTTTTTTCTTTTTAAATGTGGTGTAAAAGTATTTGTTTAAAGCTTAAAATTTTTGGCCTGAAATTTGGAAACTTATGAGAGAAGTTACCTTTTCTCTTTAAGCAAATGAGCAAGCCGAGCTTATTAAACTGTCGAATTTTACAGAACTTTTCCCTTCGGAAAAAGTCTCTCCGTTAGGGAAGAGGTTGTAACACCTTTAAATAGTATTAAAATCTTGTAGTTTAAATAATTTAAATAGATGAACATTAAGGTATTTGTGAATGGCAATATTTGAAACCAGACTCGAGTGCTACGTGCGACTCTCGCACGAAGAATGTAATTTATTTTTAAATGTTAGAATTCTTTTTTCTTCTTGTTTTGTATGTCGCCATTTTGAGTGCTAAATAAAGTTTTTTTCTGTGTTCCATCATTGGAGTTGCTTCATATTGCCAAAGAAGTATCACAACAGCCTGGTGTTCTCACATTTATTAAAATCGATAGTATATCTCACCTCACAAATTATATTTCAAAAAGAAAAGTACAATTCAATAAAAATGACAGAAAGTAGAAAAATAATTGATAATGATAATATAATACAAGTTTTTGCCTTCTTCTCATAACACATTTTTCTACAAAGTGTCTTAGAAATCTTTATTTAAAAATATTTACAATCTTTATCCTTCCAAACTGATACTTGTAAAATTATTTTAATATAACCAGTTAATCTTTAAAAAAGACGGATTTAAAAATTTATGTGGATTTACAATCATAGCAAAGAGAAAAGAATACTTTAAGATTATTTATTACAGAAAAGTATAATTTAAGATTATTTAGTAAGATTATTTGTTTATTGCAAAGTATTCTAGAGATGTCTTTACAGACGATGTTTTAGAAGAAATTGGTTTGTGTCCATACTACACGTCTGGAAAAACATGAAACCAGAAATATAATGTGATACTAACTATCAGCATTCAACAGTCTAATTCACTTGAGGCTCAGAAAAGCACATATAATATAAATTTTCATATAATGCATATTAATAAGAGTTTAACAATTAATTGAAAAACGTAATTAACACTTCAGGAAAAAAGAAAACTACTTAACTAGATAATGTTATCAATCAAAAGCATTTTGCCTACAAACAGATTCTATGGCATAAAGATTTTACATTCTATTTTCTCATTTCGTCAAAACTAAAATGATAAGTACAGCTTATACTCTAGTATGCTAGGCAACTTCTACACACACACACATACACCCAAAAAATTAATTTAGAACTAATATTAACAGCAATAATTTTATTACAATTATTTGATGATTTAATCCATTTAATATACAACAAACCGATACAGCAAATAATTTTCACACTACACAATTGCAGCAGCAAATTTATTATTGACAATCAAACTGCAGATGTAGCTCCATGATTAGGATGTCATATATCAGAAAGAAATTCTCTACTTGAAAACTACTCATGAAAATACTTAATTGGTACTTTACCACACAGTATGTTCAATATATTTTCATAAGGCTAATGATTTATATTTAGGTCATCGCTTTTCATAAGCTATTTTATTCAATTAATAGCTTTTTTGAATCAAGAAACTTTCACATGAATTAAAAACTAATGTGCATATAAATTACATAATTATTATGTTATTAATATATATGTCATCATTAATTTAAATGTCACACAACAGTCATTTTTTGTCACACTATATTTTACTATGTTTTAAGAAACTTTTCTTGTATAAAATTAAAAGAAATAAATTAAAAAATTTTAAGTGCATTTATTTTTTTAATTTTTGAAGTAAATTTCACATAAAATTTGTTTTAGGAAATCAGGATTTGTTTCTACTCATTTACTAGCTAGCTGATGCTTCTGGAATAAAAAAAAAAAAATAAAATAAATAGCAATATTATAATTAAATTAAAATTCATATCAGCTTTATAATATAGAAATCATTTTCATTTGAAAAAGATCTGTTTGAGCTGGGGCTGCATGCACTCATTCACTATTTTTTAATTCACTCATTTTTTTTCCAATTATTGATGCAGAAGTCCTATTTAATGCATCTAGCTGGCTGCACTGGAAGAGTGTATCAAAATGCTTGCTATTTTTACAAAGCCAAATTCATTCACAATCCTAATTCAATAGTTTTGAGCCACTCAAGCAGCATCAAAATAATCAGCAGCACTTGTGCCATTTATTAATGACAAAATCACTAATAAAGTTCTAACTTGTTAAAATTATCCTTCTAGAAATATAGCTTGAATAGGTCCCACACCTAGTACTTAAAAATGCAAATAAAGTAAATGTCAATATCAGTCACAATATAACATTCAATGTATTTCTTTAGTATCAAACTGTTGTTATGTTTTGAGAAATACTTCAAGCAAACATTTGCATGCATATGCACCATGCTATTAAATCAATGTTTCTAAAAGCTGCAGCATAAAGTGTTTTCATATTTAAAAAGTTAAAATATATTTTTGCTAATGCAAACTAAGTGAAGGATGATATATGGAAGGATAAGTAAGTAATCTTTCATCAGCCAAAGCAGGGCAATCAGTAAAAGCTTTGAAAAACAGAACATGCTAATAATAATAACAACCTTCAATGTCTTGGCCATTCCATGTTGCACCTACAAACCAAATAAAAACAAAGCATTTAGAAAATATTTTTTTTATGCTAGCCTTACGTTTTTGATCCAAGAAAATAAGCTATAATTTAAAAATCAAGTCAGCTTTTTTAGACAAACACAGAACATTGCCAAACAATATTCATCTTTCAATGATTTTTAACACACGGCTCCATACCATAATCAAAAGCAAAAAATACATAAAATCAAAAGGAAAATGTGATTTAATAATAAAATCTAACCACACAATTAGGGTTAATAATGAACAGGTCTAATATTCTTTAGTGCAAAGAACTTCACCTCCAAATTTTGCTTTTATTGTTTTTAAAATACATAGACCATTGAAAAATAAAAATAAAATTTTCTCAGATACAACATAAATAAATTTAAAATGCACAAATATATACATAAATACTTAATTAAATAAAAAAATAAACATTAAAATTCTATTATTACATTGGATTATACTGAACATGCTCAAGTGTATATAAAATAAATTTGAAGCGAAATATTTATTTCCTGAAAAACCTGAGACAACAAGCTCTCACTGAAAGTTTGGTCACCACTGATTCAGTGATATATATGAAAGTAATATATATGTAAAGAAAATAAAATGTAAGAAAAATGGCTCCAAAGTTTATTCACTAAAGTGAAAAAAAACTAAATTAATCTCATATTATTCATGTATGATCGAGTTTTCTTTTTGTACTTATTTTAGGATTTATAGTTTATTAATAACCACTATAAATTTTATTGCTCAGTATATATACAGTCAAAAGTCGTTAATCCAGACTCGTCGGGACTTCGGAGATTCCGGATTATCGATTTTTCCGGATTATAGATCATCACTTTAAATCTGGTAAGATGGCATGCAGAAATTATAAAATTAAAAATATGAAACCATAATTTATGAAATAAAGAACAATTATGATCTAAAGGGTATCAAAATTTACAAAAAAAAGCTTAATATTTATTTGTTTACTTTATTAAACATTTCTTTCAATGTAAGTTGTTTAAGTTGCTTCTTTTTTTATGTGATAATACTTTCTCTTTACTTCTATAAACAGGCATAATTTCTTGTTCAGTTACAAAATTACACTGTTCAAGTCCTATAATTGCTGTGTCGAGAATACCGACTAATTTGTCAATTGAAAATTTTTCGTTTTCAATAACCTGTGTTGCTTTCTTCGCTATCGGAAGTGAATTATAATGACAACGAATTTGATTTAAATCATATCAAAGATGGAGTACATCGAGATGAAATACTACATTTAGTAAGGAATTATAAGCCAAATAAAATAAAAACATTTGCCCTGAAGATAAGGATAGTACTGACAGATCAACTTCCAATTCATTGCGCGCCACGGCTTTCCCCCTCGCCCACCCCGCTGCAGAGCAGCGTGAAATTGATAAACAGATTTCAGAAGGGTTAAATAAACAAAGGATATGCCTTTATCCATTTTTTGCAGCAATTCCACTTTTCGTTTAATGGACTTCGAAACATACTTTGGCTTTGTAGATCCTTTACATATTGGTAAATATATATCAGAAATTCTATTTGACATCCTCGAAAATTCAAGCTTACTTTTATAAAATTGCTCTAACAGTCTGCAAAAAATAATAAGCCAGATCCAATTCAAAGATTAAGGAACAACGCAATCTGCAACATTAACTGAATTAGATAATTTTAGCTTAGCTTATATTGTTTGTTATACATTAAACGTGCATGCGTAAACGTATTTTGGGCATGTGCACATGCATATTCGCAACCGTAAAAGTCTTACGCGCATGCGTCAACGCGATGCAAAGTTTGTAGCCTTGAGGTCCGGATTATGGGTGTCCGAATTAACGACTTTTGACTATATATGTATAATATGTAGAGTTCATTTCATTTTACATCATTCACTACTTAAATTGTGTTTTACTTTTTTTTTGGGGGGGGGGAGGTATTTAGAAAAATTCAAAACATTCAAATTTTTATATCTGTGGGTATACAGTAAAAGTTCAACTATTCAAAAAGCTTGCAATATACTGAATCCCAGACAACTAAGTCTATAAAAAATGGAATTCGTGTTACAAAAGCCAAATGAATGGGAACAATTTATGCTTTACAATTATAAAAGCATCATCATTTTTGTTTTCAACTTGAATATCAAAAAGCCTACATTTAAAACTATATAATATTCTCAAAAAAAAAAAAAAAGTATTTCAGACATAAAAAGTTGATGTATTTGATGGGCCTTAAACATGAAAGCAAAACATCTAATCCAATAATGAAATCCTGCCAAATGAGAAAGTTGATAGTGTCACCAATCATTCCAACAAAAGTTTAAATGTTTTATTCTTTATTTAATCACATAATTCTTTATTTAATCACATAACAAAGAGATAGAAATTATTGATATATCATATAGAAAAACTTAAACTGCTTGTCGTAATTTTTCACATTACATTACATTGCCCTTGTTTATCCATATTCAAAGTCACGCATTCGGCATTTTTGGATGCCTGGCTTTTGCAGCTTGGATAATACACCAGGTCATACTTATGTACAAATACGCATCTTCATATCACTTCATACAAATATTAAATAATATTTCAAAATGACAGGAGAAATAGAACTTATATCCTTCTTTCTAAACATTAAACCAAAACATACTTCTTATGATTGCGTTGTGATGTCATACTTATCCATTAGTGGTGCTAAATCTCATTTTCACTTCCTTGTACGAAGTAAAAAGGAAGTATTGTAATCGCGAAAAGCTTCAGGCAGCATATTTCAACGAAAATATCACTGACCGCTTTCGAATGGAATTTAACGATGCTTTTGCATGATATCTGTACGTAAGTACAGAATAAAAGACTCTTTTCCTCAAAAAAAAAAAAAAAAAAAAAACTGCTTTAAAATGAATTCTGAAGAGAATTTTTCGTGGCGTCTGCATGAACGTACGTATGTATGCATGCGTATGAATGTATTTCGCATAACTCAAAAACGAGTAGCCTCAGAATGTTGAAGTTTTGTATATAAGACTACTATATCATGTAGATGTGCACCTAGTATTTTGGTTTCAATCGGCCGCGTCAAACGTATATAAATATATTTATAAATATATCCACTCTGTTACCTGGCTCAGTGATCTCAGTTTCTTTACTCTTATATGTTTGTAAATTGTACATTTTTTGCTTTAAAAATGATTGAATTATGTTGTTTTTATCTTCCGGTTAAGGGTTTTATGCCTTTAGTAAATCTGTATGCAATATTTTTAGAATTATCAACAATTTTAAAATTGTTTAAGTGCCGCTAAGCCTAATTTGATGGCGGCCATTGCTCTTGTTTACATTTGAAACAGCTGAGTAGCAGATTTGTTGCCAATCTAAGAGAAACTTAGCTTTCCAACAACAAAGATAACGCCTTCATTTATTATTTAAATCATGCTTAATCCTTTCTGGAATTTTTTCGAGGAAATTAGCGTTTAAGATTTACTTCGTAATTTTTAATACAGATATTTTGAGTTTTTATGTATTTTTGTCTTGTCGCGAAGTGAAAACTGAATTAATTGAATGAGAAATACTCAATCGTCTGTGAAAAACTGTTTCTTTTTTGTTTTGTTTGCTTAATTTCTCTTATACATAGTTCTAGCTTTATTATAGTATTTGAATAGAACATGCGGCAATGATTAGATAATTCTTTAAATGATATAAATTTTGTGCATTCTGAGTTATAATATGAACGAAATATAATACTGTTAAGTAAACCTAGCGCCAGAGTGTCGCTATGGTAAACAAAGTGAATGCATTTATTCTATTGTGGTTTATGTGCTGTCGGCGAAGTAGGTTTAATTCAATCTAATAAGTTTAAATAAAATGCAAGAAAAAATGCATATAATTTAATATTCCGTACAAGGAAGTCATGTGGTGTACACATCAGATTTTTTAGTGAAAATGTATAAGTGCTATATATATGTTAATAGTATTATGACAGCTATAATGGCATCACATATCTCTTGTTTACTAAAAGTGTTGGGGAAGGGGAATTTCTACAGTTCTAAAGTATTCCAGTTACTTAAACTTACTTGTTAGTTATATATAAAGAAAGACTATAAATTAATTAATTTGTACCAGCCACTGAAAAATACTGACTTCAAGATGCAAATAAATTTATGCAATGAAATCCCTGTCTGCTAAAATAGAAGATACATGTCTTTCGTGGAACCAAAAATTGTTGACGAGCAAATTAAAGAATGGTGTAATAAAGCCTAGTGATTCTAATTATTCGGCGCATATAGTTTTGTGTAACAAATGGTATGGTTCCAAAAGATTATGCATATATTATCAGAAATTAAATAAGAAGATTTTTAAAGACAAATTTCCACTGCCTTTAATCCCAGAAATACTTGATCGTTTAGAACAATCAAAGGTCTTCACAACACTAGATTTGAAAAATGGCTTTTTCCATGTATACATAGATGAAAAATGCACAAAATATACCATGTTTGTAACACATAATGGTGTTTATGAATTAAAGCTCCTTCTGGTTTATGTATTAGTCCAAATGTTTTTCAAAGGTATATTTATTCAGTATTTTGCAAGTTGCTAAATAAAGGTGTACTAATTATTTATATGGATGATATAGTTGTACCGGCTAATGATGAAGTTGAATGTTTAGAGAAATTAGAAAGAGTATTCAAAACTGCTTCAGAATATGGATTACAAATAAATTTCAAAAAGAGCCTATTCTTAAAGCGAAAAATTGAATTTTTGGGACATGTAATTCAAAACAGAACTATTCGACCATCACTTTTCAAAACTGTTGCTGTTCAAAATTTTCCACAACCGCGTAACTGTAAACAACTACAAAGCTTTTTAGGACTAACAGGATATTTTTTGTAACTTCATTCCTCATTATGCTAAAATAGATAAACCTCTTAGTGACTTATTTAGAAAAGGTATTGGTTTTAAGTTCGATTCCGAACAGCAGGAAGCTTTTTGCAAATTAAAAGAAATTTTCTCTCAAGCACCTGTTCTACATATATTTAGACAAAGATATCCATTAGAACTTCATACTGATGTGGCTTTGGTGCGGTACTACTCCAATTATCTGATGATGGTAATTATCATCCAATCCAGTATATGAGTAAGAAGACTTCACCGCAGCAAGAGAACCTCTGTAGTTACGAATTAGAAGCCTTTGCAGTTATATAAGCTCTTAAGAAGTTTAGAAACTATTTTTTAGGTTCTAAATTCAAAATTGTCATTGATTGTAGTGCGTTTCAAAAAATTTTAGATAAAAAAAAATTAACTCCCAAGATTGCAAGATGGGCAATGTTTATTGAAGAATTCGATTGCAAAATTGTACATCATTCAGGTAGCCAAATGAAACACGCTGATGCTCTAAGTAGGAATGCTTTAACATCATACACATCCGATGTAACTGAGAAGATTCAGTTAGCACGACAACAGAATGAAGATGAGCATGTGAAATTGATCAAAAATTTGGTCAAGAAAGGAGAAGAAAATATATTCTTTCTGAGAAATGGTATTTTGTATAAATTGGAAAATGGTAAAGATCTGCTAGTAGTGCCAAAAACATTACAAAACGAAATCATACGGAAGGTACATAAAAGGGTCACTTTGCTGTAGAGAAAACTGTGAATGCCATAGAGCAAGAATTCTATATTCCTAAACTGAAATGCAAAGTTGAAAAAGTAACTGCAAACTGCATAGAATGTATACTGTACAACAAGAAGCAAGGAAAAGCAGAAGGATTTTCTTCATCCTCTGCCGAAAGAAAACGTTCCCTTGAGTACATACTATGTCGACTTTATTGGACCTCTTCCTTCGACGAACAAGAGATACCAACACATTCTAACTGTGGATGATGCTTTTACGGAATTTACTTAGTTCTATCCAGTGAAATCATCAACTACGGCAAGAAGTCATTTCAAAATTGAGGCAACAAAAGACTGTATTTGGGAATCCAGCCAGAATCATTTCTGATCAAGGTAGCGAAAGAATTTTCAGCTTATTGTATGGAAGAAGGCACCAAACATGTTAAAATTACTACTGATACTCCAAGAGGTAATGGACAGATTGAGGGAATCCATAGAATTTTCATTCCTGTTTTGTCGAAATCATCACATGAGGATTCAACAAAATGGTTTAAATATGTTCCATATCCAGAGAATTATCAACAGTACAACTACGAGAAGTACAAAATATTCACCGTTTGAACTTCTCATAGGCATGATAATGAAGAACAAGGAAGATCTAAGAATTAGTGAGATATTGAATGAAGAACTAAAGCAGTTGATGCAAGAACGTGATGAAATGAGAGAAGATGCGAAAAACTATATTTTGAAGTTACAAGACACGAATTGTAAGCAATTTAACAAAAGACGGAAGAAACCGAAACTCTACAAGATTGGTGACTTGGTAGCCATTCAGCGAACTCAGTATGGGACTGGTTTGAAACTACGACCTAAGTTTCATGTAACATATCAAGTCATAGCTGTTAGATCGAATGATAGATATGAAGTTGAAAAAGTAGGATGCCATGAAAGACAGAATTTGACATCTACTGCGGCTGACCATATGAAGCCATGGTCAAATTGATTGATGATTGTATCAGCTCAAATCTAAGGACCTGATACTCTCTTTTTCTTCTTCTTCTCTTTTTTTTTTTTTTTTTTTTTTATTCTCTTTGGAGGTACCTCATGAATAAGGCAATCCTCACTTTCCACTAGTACACTGGCGGTATACAGTGATATTTCTGGGCATGGGTTCCTATGCAATTCTTAATCCTTATGATGTGCCCTACCTTTCCAAGAAGTTTGTCGCTACATTTACGGGACACCCTGTATATATATATAAGGCAATGATATAATGAAATTACATTATCTTTTTAAAAGCTCTGGCAAATTTTTTTTTTTTTTTTTTTTTTTTTTTTAAATATCAGCATTAAGAAGGATTGCAGCATACCTTTTTATTAACCGAAAAAGAATATGTTGCTGGTTCAGATGCAAAATTTTCATCAATAAATAAATAAATAAATAAAACTACCAGTAACAAGGCTATGAAATTTTACCATAATGTTTTTTTTTTGGGGGGGGGAAGGAAAAATTGAATTTGAAGCTGTTGAAGTGAAAATCAACCTCATCATTTTACAGAATTTGACAAAACTATGCCTCATTAGTCATCAACAGGCTAGATGGCTATAGAAATGTTTTCCACTCATTATTTTTTCAGAACATTCTCTATATTGTTATAAAATCTCATTCACTTGATGCATAAAATGCCATTTTACTTTGCTCAGGCATTCAAACATTAAAAGAAATTAAAACTACTATCTAAAAGTTTTGGCTGTACTTTAAAAAACTCCAGAATGAAAAAATGAAAAGAATATTTCAAATAGTAAACAGTTTTTACTTCCCTACAGTCGACGTAAAATAAAAAATATTTTATCTAAGATGATAATCAGAACTACAAAGAGCAAATGCTGTCTTAAAATGGTTCCTATGAAGATGAATCAATCAATCAAACATTTGAGTTAAGCTTTTGAGCTAAGTTTTTGATAACTACTTTAAAACAAAGCACATGATGCTTATGTGAGTGATTGAAAAAATATAACATTCACTTTAGAATACAAAAATTAGTTACCAACATACAGCATGCATCCAAGTTGAATTGAAAACCCTCAAATATCTCATCAGTAATCACCAATTCAGATTTAATAATAATCAAGATAGATCTGATTCAAGAAATATATATCAAATCAAAATGCACATTTTAAAGTTTAAAATATATATGCATAATCTAAATAAAAGCTTAAAAATATTCAGTACAACAGACCTTAAATATGAAAATAGCATATTAAAAAAATTGGACACATAGTTCAAACAAGATTAAGTAAGTTATTACATAGCCTATATTGAACAAGAAAAGAAAGAAAAACAGAACATTCAAAGGAAAGAATTAAAACACTTACTTTTACATATTTAGAAAGCTCTCGACCAGCTTCACAACCTGCAGTTACCTGTACCTCTTCCTGTTATCATATTGTGAAAAGTGAAAGCACATTAAACTTATGCAATTTCAACTGCATATGTATATATATATATATATATAAACAACTAATAATTTACAATAAACATTTTTTTTATAAAGTTATGGCATTTATAAAAAAATAAATACACACACACAAAAAAAATAATTCATCAATTATCAATCTAAATTTAATAAAAATAAAAATGCAAAATTAATTCCCAAGCAAGCAATAACAAAACATATCACAAACTATAAATTCTAATTAAAGAAGCAAACAGACAGCATACATACTTAAAAACAGAAGCATGCAGTTAGTTTGAGATGTTATACTCACAGGAGATGAAACAGGAAGAATCATAGGCATACTTTGTGGACGAGGACGCTGACACAAAGATGGAATAACAGGACAGGAACTTAAGTCCCACCACCCAAAACCCCATAACTAAAAGGAGATTGAAATTCAGAAAGAAATATAAAGTTCTATTTACCATCACCAGGCAAGTATCATTCCATTCCCAGATAAGTCACAGCATTAAACAAAGAGTGAATAAATTGGCAAAAACTGTGCAGATCTGATTAAAACATGAGATGCAAAGTGTAAATTAAATAAATAAAAAGCTTTACTGCAATATTATTTTTTAATCACAGATGCTTTCTTGAAGTTAACTATAAAAACTTAGCCAGGATAGTATAAAATCAGATAATATCTAAAGCATCTTTTGTATATCTAAAGCAGCAATATAAATTTACTTATGACTCCAAATAATTAAAATCATTTCAGTTATTTTTTTTAAATGACTTCCTCACAATACTATTAAATATTATTAGCTCTAGAGTTTTATTCTGTGTTAATAATGTTTTTGTGGGAGGTGGAATAGCCTAACTTCTGAAGGTGACATTTTTGTAGAAAATTGATTACAGATGCACAAACTAGAAAGATATTTCATTACTTTAAACATGGTTATCTCATATAACATCAGTTCATGACTTTCAAAGTTAATTTTTAACATGTTTTGTAAATACCTTGAAAACTTAACTCAGTAATTTTTTCACTTGACTGCTAAAGCAATTCTAACTTGTTTTGTGAAAATGATGTCTCAAACAATAGCATATATTGTTTTGTGTATCTATATACACAGGGTGATTCGCTACCAGATAGACAAACTTTCAGAGTGTGTAGGGGATACAGAGACGACTCAGAATCACACAGGGTTGCAAATGTCATAGTTGTGAGCTATGGTGCAAAGAAGCAGAGAAAAAGAACAGAAACAGCAACACATTAATGGAACAGAAAACATTTTATTGAAAGGTTGTACTACAATAGGTGTTCGAGATTATGACCAGAAATTATCAGGCAGGCCTGACAGCAGCACTGCATGAAATTCCTTACATTCTGGAAGATTCCTCCTCCTGGCAGTCTTGCAGTAGATAGCACTGAGCAGAAAGTTGCATGAACAGCAATCTATTTCTCGAGGTATTAAGATGAACATGTATTCAAACAATGAACTGGTTGACATGCTGATCATGTATGGAGCTTTGGATTGTAGTAGGCAGGCTGCTAAGCTTTTGTAGTAGGAATGTTACCTAAACAGGCATGCTCCACAGACATGACCTTCGCAAATGTGAAAAAAAGGTTAAATGAGATGTTTGTTTAATGAGAGCTACAATGAATCGACAGCAAACGACGAGGGCACCTGGTAATGAGGAGACGGTTTTACATCTGGTAGAAGACAATCCAAGCACGAGGATTTAAACGATCAATCCACTGTCTGGAGGATACTCGCAGGAAACAAAATGAGAACATACCATCTTCATCATGTATAATTGTTAAAGCCAGAACATTATCCACTCTGCTATATGTTTCCTGCAACAGAGTGCTACAGATTGCTTCATCCATATTGTTCACAGATGAAGCATACTTCATAAGTGTGGGAGCCTTCAATCAATATAACACCCATGTGTGGTCTTTGGAGATGCCTCATCATATGCAACCATGTGCGCTCAATAGTGTTTCTTGGTAAATGTTTGGGCTGGCATTCTTGGAGTCCACCTCACTGGATCATACCTTCTGCCCAGTCCTTTGAATAGTAGGGCATCTTACAATAAGTGCTGCCAAAACTTCTTGATGCAGCACATGTTCCTCTGTCATTACGCCACTCCATGTGATACCAGCATGATGGTGTTCCACCATATTACACAACTGATGTCCGAAGACACTTTGAAATAATCTCTGGACAGCTGTGGGTAGGTCATGGTGCCTTGGTTCATTGGCTTACCACCTCATCGAACTTATCATGCATGGACTTCTTCTTCTGGGGTAACATGATGAGTTTGGTGTACGAAATGGCCATCCCTTCAGTTGAAGACCTCATCTCTTGAATATCTGTAACTGCCGGAGGATACGTGACTTTCAGAATGACGAATCTTCCACAACATAAGGTATTCCCTGCAGCACCTCTGTCAAGCCTGTCAGATGACTTCTGGTCATAAATTTGAACACCTGCTGTATTACAACTTTTGAATATAATGTTTTTGTCCCATTAATGTGTTGCTGTTTCTGTTCTTTTTCTCTGCCCAGTCCTTTGAAAGGTAGGGCATACTTTGAAGTCCTTTGAATAGTAGCACCATTAGCTCACAACTATGGCATTTGTGACCCTGCATTTCCTATGTGATTCCGAGTCACCTCTATACCACCTACACACCTGCAAGTTTGTTGGTCTGGTAGCGAATCACTCTGTATATTTCACAGTTATGAAAACAATTTTTTTTTTAACTTGCAAGAATACTTGCAATGAATTAATGATAATTTTATCTCAAACTTATAAACAGACACTACTATATTATGCTACCTTCAATTAAACGTAATCAACAAAAGTATTAAAAGTTGACAGAATGCTTAGTTACAGCAAATTTTAAACTTTTTCAAATCTTGCATAATACTTTCCCAGTATTGCATCAAAGGAAATAACCACATTAGCACTAAATATAAACATATTTACATACACTTTATGATAGCATATGAAATGAAATTTTTAATTATTCTAAAACATTATAACTTTTAAGATTTTTTACTCCAGTTGGAAAATATATATATGTTATAATAGACATTTTACAAGTTATACAAATTTTGGAATTTATTCAACCAAATCCTTGAACCAAATGACAGTCACTAAAGTTTAAAAGGTCTGAAATACTAAGCAAAATGCAATAGAATGTTGGAATTTAGTCAATACTGATATCAATCTGACCAGTTTTCGTATAAACTAAATTATTAAGTTTATTTAATTAAATTAAAATATGCTATAGATTTATGCCACGCATATGAACTTTTGGAACTGGCAAATTTGAAAAAAAAAAAAAAAAAATTCAAATAAATTAATAAATATTCACTTTGTAAGATTTTTATTTTAAATTATCCAGTTATTATAACTCGGATAACTTCTTTCCATATTCCTCACCAGAATGCAAATCAGCTCTGTGTTTAAGCTGAGGTTTCTGAATCTTGAAAAGACTGTTTCTGGCATGCATGCTATGTGCTTAGATTATGCAGCACTTTCTAACTGTAACTATGCATTTTCTTGACATTCATACTTAATCTTGTGTGCCAGTAATTTATTGAGCTAGCTTACAGCTTAGTATTTAAGCACATAGTCTTAGAGTAGGAATCAACATTTAATTTGAACTTTGTTCTTATTTTAATTTGCATCTTCACAAGTGTGGTTATTTGTAGCACAAAGTCACACACTTATATTCAAACTTCTGTTAAAATAAAAAGGTTGTTTTAAACTTTTGTAAGATTTTGTTGTATTATCTTCTCAGACATAGCAATAACTCGACATATACATGTTACGGTACTCGACATATACGTGTTACGGATTAAAGTAGCAGTACTAGACTAAATACAACCTTATGACTTCATTAAAAAAGATAAAAATTTCTTCTGAATAAGCAAAGATATCTGTGCAAGAATCAATACAGCACAGTAGACAATTCTTTACTAGGAATGAAGACTCCATGAAAAGTGAATAAAAACTTCTAGATAGTGAGGCCTAGATCTAGTTTTTGTTTTGTTTCATCAAAATAATAATCACTCATCCTAAAAACAACTGACATATATGCATGAAAACTTTACTTCTCACCATCTAAATTTACAAATAAATAATGAGTCTAAAACAAAAAGTAAGCTTTGCAATACTGACCTGCCCAAGCTGTAAGAGATAAAACAGGAAAGCAAATGGCAATGCATGTAGAGCAAACAAGATAATTTTTTCCATTTAATATGAAAAATTAAAATGCAGTTTCACTTTTCTACTATAGTTTCCTGGTACATAAAGATTTTTTTTTTTTTTTTTTTTTTTTTTGCCCTGAGTCAATAACAGATTTCTAAAATAGTTTTACTAGTTGTACACCTACAATTTTCTGCCTTTATTTTATTTTATTTTATTTATTTATTTTTGTAACAAATATATTCCTGACATTTGATAATGTGAGGTGAAGAGCGCAAGGAGAATAACTTTACATGAATTACTACAATCCTAAAAGCATAATAAGGTCCAAATTTCAAACTACGATATCAGCACAATAAACATGGAAAATAAAAAATCCAAGATTTTTGAATTTTTTATAACAGTTCTAAACAAGAAATCAAAATTGCCCATGTTATTTATATTATAAATAGTGTATGTTAAATAACATATGCCTACAAATGAACTGATCAAAAAGTTTTGTTTTATAATATTAAATTTTGCAAATGGGTACAGAGGTTATCTTAGACCATGTTAAAGCACAGTTATTTATGTTAGGTAATGCAAAATCTTATGCATATAACAGAAAAGCAAAAAACAATAACACATAGAATTGTATACAAAAAACATATTTTCACCTTAATGACATTGCTTGCCTCAATATCTGGCACTTTAGATTCCAGTAAGCGTTGACATTGAGAAAAAAAATTGTGGAGATGCTGGTCCTAAAAATAGTTAAGTTGAAAATATATGTATAATTCATTGAGAATAATAGAATTCTTAATAAGATCATCTATTTTAAAATATTTTAGTTTTTAAAATGAAAAAGTAGTCTAATATACCTTTGAATTCACAGTTGATACAAGAATAAAGCTCACTTTGAAAAGCTCTTTACCACCATCCACCCAACGAATCTCTGGACCACTGAACTGCAGTGAATTAATAAAATCTGCATATAAAACTCATAACATTTTTGCAAAAATTAGGGAAACAATATGACAAAAATTTAAAGAGAAACAGAATTTAATCAGGAATTTTTTTTCCAGAAATTTTATGTAATTTTACTGATAACAATCTTAATGATAAACTGCATTTCAGAATGCCTTTTTGGTGTTTCATAATTTTTTCATTTCTCGTGAAGTTGTATTATTTACAATAAATTTACTTTAACTATATTAAAATACACAATTATGTCAATTCAACTTAAAAGAAGAATGAAGCCATTTTGTAACAATAGCAAAAACATCATAAATTAAATACTTATTTTATTCTGTGATGTTTACTAGCTACAATCAAGTCTCACTTATCTGACCTTTGCTTATCCAACACACCATCCCCAAATAAATAAATAAATAAAAATCATCAATCAGAAACAAGATTTGCTTCGTCAATGATACCAAAATGGCAAAAATGTACGTATTTTTCTCAAATGCATTTCAAATTTAAACTATAGTCTTTTGAAATGGAATTCTTAATTTCGTTTTGTAAGTTCTAAATAGGTTTATCAACTACTTCTTAATTCACTTTGTTTAAAGGTTGACATTTAAATTAAAAAAAAAAAAATTCACTGAAGTATTTTATTTTTTCACTTTTGTTTTCAATTCTTTTAAAGAGATGGAGTTCTCTTTTTTTTGAGATGTTTCTAATTAGAATTTACTTTGATTTTTTCCTTGCTTTGTGAAAGGGCCAGAACTTTTGGGCGAAATACTATATTTATAATTTAAATACATTGAAATGGTTCATCGGCTAATTCTGGATACAGAAAAACAAGGATTTTTGCAGAAGAGAGATTTCAATTAATTTTAAAGTCAACCCCCCTCCCCCGATGAAGTGATATTGAGACTGATTGAATTCCTCTTCTGTTTTTGTTTAATTTGCTTTAAAACTTTCAAGGTTTTTGAAAAGGGATTTAGCTTGTTTGAAATATTTTGGTTTTAACATTTTTAAATTAATTGTTGCATTTATATGTTTATTTGAAATTTATTAATTATGAATTTAAATTTCTAGTCTTTGTGAAATTTTAGTTCTAAATTTTTTACTTTATGTCTTTAATGATAATTTTTCTGCAGCTTAATGCGCAAAAATGATTAGGCATGTTTGTGTTTTGTTTTCAAAAGAATTGTTTTGTAATTATATATATATATACAGTAAGAGCACGCTTAACGCGGGATATATGTTCTATCAAAGTAGAGCGTAATATGAAACAGTATTAAACGTGATTATCCTTATCTCATCATGTAAATAATGGGGTTAGGGAAAGATTGGTAGAAATTTGGTCAGGTATTTTACCATTAAATTTATTAATTATGTTTTTATAACAATAAAACAAAAATTTATTTCTTACAAATATAAAAACATAATAAACGGATATAAACATGATTTTTTATTAGGCTCCTTAATTACAGGTAAAGTTGATTTGGATATTCCTTTCATCGCTCTTGGTTCCGCTTGCATTACCTCGTGTTAAGCGATTTTTTGCAGCTCTAAATCCTGGTGCACGTTTTTCTTCATGGGATAGAAATGGTTGTTTTGGCATTCTTTTCCAAAATAGTCCTGTTTCATCAACATTAAAAACCAATTCTGGAGGATAGTTTCCTCATTCAATTATTATTTTCAATGTCACTGGGAATTCAGCCGCCGCTTTCGTATCACCACTTGCTGCTTCTCCTAAAATCTGTATGTTATGAAGATTATTTTGATGTTTAAATCTATTAAACCATCCTCGACTTGCAACGGAAGTTTCACTTGTCTCACTTGCCTCAACCTGAATGTATTAAAAATTCTTCTTGCTTTTTACATTATAATAGATTGGCTTAATGGCATATTGTGTTCAATTTCGTCATCAATCCATATAGAAAGTCGTTTTTCCATTTCCTCTATTGTATTATTTCTAGAATGGGTAATTCTTGTTGCAGTTGCTAATGATAGTATTTTTTCTTTATTCTTAAGAATAGTCCATATTGCTGAAGTCGCCAAATTCAAAGCAGCATGAAATTGAGGTTGACATTCACCAGTATCTAATCTTCTAATCACTTGCATTATAGTTTCTAGTGAAATGCTTTTCTTGTTGCTTTATTTTTGTGTTTTTTTATTATCCCCTATGATAAAAACTAAAAATCATAACATTCGTCACTATATAAATCGTTATATTATATAAATTTATATTTACAATAATGTCAACAATGTTTGAAATGATAATAAGTTCATATAACACCGTAGGAAAGAAGAAACACAGATAAACTGCTTCAGATATCGGGAAGCCTTATGCTGCAAGCAATTTCGAGGAATCCCACAATTCAAATAAAAGAGCGTTAAACCGAAGCAGCGCTAAACGAAACAGCATTAAGCGGGGTCTTCATGTATATATATTTGGTTGCTCCTAGCTCTATTGCTGGGCACACTCGTCTACACTATGACTCATAAGTTTGTCATTCAGTGCAGCTCAATTTATCATTTTGAGAACATTTATTTATGCAGATCAGTTTATTTTCTGTTACTGTTTATGCATATATTCTGGATATGGTGTATCTATTTTGCGAACATGTTGTGGTGTTTATGCAAGCACAAAAAGAATGGAAAAGAAAAGAAAGTTCTGTGTCAATGAAACAAAAATTTCAGCCAATCAAGAGAATTAGACAAGAGAGAGATAATGCAGAAGGAAGCTTGATAACTTTGGCATTGGACAGGTAATAGTAGGAGACTGGAAAAGGAAATGAATATAGAAAAAATGGTGTGCACCAATAGTTATAAAGTAAAATTATGAAAAATATGTAGAATATGAAAAAGTGAGTGAAGCTTTTTGTATGTCTGATTTACACAGTTCAGGGGAAAAACAGTCTTTAAAACAGTTTTAAAAAATTCTCTTCCTTTAAAATACTATAGTCAGAAAAGTGCATGGATGAGCAGTGGAATTTTCAAAGATGGTTCTTTAAGGAATTCATTCCTTCAACAGGAAAGTTTTTGAAAGAAAATTACCCAGTAAAAGCTCTTCTGCTGCTAGATAATGCTTAAATGCATCTTGATGCAAAGGAACTTCAAGATTGTTACATTAAGGCAAAGTTTCTGACCCCAATGTAACATCCCTATGGAAATTTAAGGATCATGGCATTTTTGAAATAAAAAGAAATTATCACAGAAAGTTACCATCAACAATGATAGAAGAAATTCAAGAAGGATAAAACATGATTGAACTACTGAAATGAATCAATGTAAAGGATGTTGCTCATTGAGTTGCATAGACCTGGGTTGGCATAAGGGCTATAATTGTCAAGTCATGGAAGCTGCTAGGCAATGATGAAAAGGTAAAAACAGAAAGCACATAAGAAACTATCTTTGCAAGAAATCAAATGTTGGATGAAGACTAATGATCAGTATGAAATAACTAATGAAGAAATTATTACTTTTGTCAACTGCAAAGAAAACTAAACTGAAGATGGAGATCAAGCACCAGCTGTTAGGCCCCGTAAAATTTCACATGGAGTTATGGCTCTAGAATCTGCAGCTAAATATATTGAGCAACAAGAAGCTACAGCAAACGACACAATGATAGAGACTTGGCAGCAAAGAAATATCCCTCATTAAGAAAGCAAACTATGACAAAAAAATTTTTTTCAGTCATCACAGGACTAAATTTTTGAAGTACTGTATGTACTACGTTTAGAAAATTGTGACACTGTAATTTAAATTTTTCAATTAATTTTTCCTGTTTTGCTGCAAAAATCATTATTAAACTCACAATATGTAAACATACAGCATAGTCTGATGTTTACTATGCCTTTTTTTAAACACCTCCCTATTATCCAACATTTACATTTATCTGATGTTCTGCCTGCCTGTCAAATAAACAAGACTCAAATCTATCTGTTCCTAAAATTCTCCAGAAGATTTAGGTTTAAAACTTAGTTAAAAAATATATGCAGTCTGCCTGCATGCAGAAAGGTGTGCTAAGTTTGCAAGGCTATGGAAGATACTATAATGATGTAGATAATGATTTTGTAATAATAAGAGTTCAAAACTTTCACATTAGGTTGTCAGGAACATTTTAAATCAAATCAAAATAGTGATGTATGAATAGGTTAGTAAATTATGGGCAAAAGAATAATCTGGACCTTAAGTTCTAAATAACCTAATTTCTAATAACTAGATATAACAATCTATAACCTTTTAATAGCCTAGAACCTAAATAACCTATATTTTATTTTATAGCCTAACCTTTGTTTCTATCTAATAACATATAAAAAATTTCTAATTTTAAACAGAATTCTGATTCACCAATCTTTTTAGCAAAACTTTAAATAAAAAGAAGTGCATTCACCTTTCACTGATTATTCTGATCAGGAAGCAAATTATTATGCTTATAAGCATATAAAACAACATTATAAGATCATTAAATTTAATTTAAAATTTGAAAAAAAAAAAAAAAAAAGGACAAAGAGAACTTTTAAAGAATTTTCATGTAATTTAGAATATACAAATTGCTACATGCTACATTGATAGTAATTTCTACTATTAAACCTAAGAGATATAAAATGCTTCTTTCCTAAGTTTATAAATACTTACAGATATATGGAAGCATGGATTGATTTTACAGAATAAAATATGCTCCCATATATAAACAGAATTCCTCCATGATAATATATTCGCAAATTACATATTTAAAAAAATTATTAAAACTTTACAAAGACTTTATTTAAAGAATATTAAACTGATCAATAAATATTCTATAAGAACTACTCCTTTACAATAAAAAAAAAAAAAAAAAAGTTATAAATGTAACGTACCCCTTTTCCCAAACCTAAGGGTTGACAAGATAAGTAGCCAGATGGCAAAGAGATGGATACTGGAAGACACTGATCATCTAAAAATAACCTGAGATGAAAATATATATAGAATTACTAAATGCAGTATAATATACACACATACAAGGCCTAATGGAAAGAAAAAATACTACATAGGGTACCAATGCATCAGCTTAGCAGATTCATAATAAGAAAAGGTGAAATAATTAATACAATAAGGCTGTTCTATAAAAATTAAAAAAATCTGATGTGTACACCACATGACTTCCTTGTATGGAATATTAAACTATACGCATTTTTTCTTGCATTTCATTTAAACTTATTGGATTGAATTAAATCTACTTTGCCGACAGCGCATAAACCACAATAGAATAAATGCATTCTTTAAAATTCACTCTAGTATTTGTTTACCATAGCGACACTCTGGCACTAGATTTACTTAACAGTATTATATTTCGTTCATATTATAACTCATAATGCACAAAATTTATATCATTTAAAGAATAGAATTATCAAATCGTTGCCACATGCTATATTCAAATACTATAATAAAGCTAGAATGATGTATAAAAGAAATTAAGCAAAAAAGAAACAGTTTTTCACAGACGATTGAGTATTTCTCATTCAATTAATTCAGTTCTCACTTCGCGAGAAGGCAAAAATATGTAAAAACTCAAAATATCTATATTAAAAATTACGAAGTAAATCTTAAACATTTATTTCCTCGAAAAAATTCCAGAAAGGATTAAGCATGGTTTAATTGGCAATAATAAATGAAGGCGTTATCTTTGTTGTTGTGAAGCTAAGTTTATCTAGATTGGCAAAGAATCCACTAGTCTACTGTTTCAAATGTAAACAATCAATGGCCACCATCAAAAAAAAATTATTAGGCTTAGCGGCACTTAAACAACTTTAAAATTGTTGATAATTCTAAAAATACTATTAAATATCTATAAAAATAGATTTACTAAAGGCATAAAAACCTTAACCGGAAGATAAAAACAACATAATTCAATAAAATGTACAATTTACAAACATATAAGAGTAAAGAAACTGAGATCACTGAGCCAGGTAACAGAGCGGATATATATATAAATATATTTATATATGTTTGGTGCGGCCGATTGCAACCAAAATATGAGGTGCACATCTACATGTTATAGCAGTCCTATATACAAAATTTCAACGTTCTGAGGCTATTCGTTTTTGAGTTATACGAGATACGTACGTACGTACATACGTTCGTACAGACGTTCGTACAGACGTCACGAAAAATTCTCCTCAGAATTAATTTTAAAGCAGTTTTATAATTTTTTTGGAGGAAATGAGTCTTTTATTCTGTTCTTACATACAGATATCACACAAAAATATCGTTAAATTGCATTTGATAGGGGTCAAAAATGGATATTTTCGTTGAAATATGCTGCCTGAAACTTTTCGCGATTACAATACTTCCTTTTTACTTCGTACAAGGAAGTAAAAAGAACTCAAAGATTTTACAGAAGTTTCTACCACACAAAGATTCTAAGAACTTTGTAAATAATTTCAGTTAAAACTTGTGATCTACAGGCATAAATAACTATGAAATTAAAATACCTTAAATTCTTAAATTTCATTCCTCCATTCAACCAGCACATTATTTAAAATAAAAAATAAATGGTTTTACATTTAAATATTGATAAATTACATATTCCATGAAAGTCCAAGTCTTCCATGAAAGCAAAGGGGGGGGGAATACATAAAAAGTAAAAAGTCCAACTAGTTAGTTCACATATTTAAAAATAAACATCAAATCCGTTGATCTAGTGATTTAAAAAAGTTTAATACTTGCCTTCCTTTACTAAGCAATATTAACCAAGAATACCCAACCACATTTGCAACAGGACCATCTCTCTGTTTGGAGCGTTTTGGTTGTTCACAACTGATATGATGGAATGTGAAAAGAATATGATGTTTTTCATGTAACTGCGTAGGCAACAACATTTTAACCTATTAAAGATAATAAATAGTTCACATGCTATACTGAACAAGAAATGATAATTTATGTCAGGAATTTCTTTAAAAAAATTTCTCTAAAAATAAATTTAAAATTAAAGGAAACCAAACAACACATCACTAAGTTAGAATAGCTATAGTGCAAGATTATTACATATGACAAAGAACTGCAAAACAGCACTTTTCTTAAAAAGCTAACATTTTAATATAAGTTTTCAAGTAGTACTTATTCTTCCTATCCAAAAAAACACATACAAAAAGACGGGAGAACATTAAATGGTAGACATTTGTAAAGTTTAGCTACAAAGATTTTTCAGATATGATAATACAAAAACAGTCAAGACGTGTATTGATAGTTACAGTGCTTGAAATGATAGACTGGCTATACACAGTTCAGTCACATTAATGTGACTACCATCTACTTTCCATGCCAACGGGAAATAACAAATCACAGAAAGCAGGTTGCAGTACAGTGCACTAGAGCATATATATAGGGTGTCCAAGAGAAGCAGAAAGCATCACAATCGTTGCCATAATGCAGAAATGGCATGATTTATCTGACATCCAAAAGAGCATGATCATTGGCTTTCGGGCCACGGATGGAAGCGTTTCCGAAATGGCTAATTTTGTAAACTGTTCACATGCTGCCATGGTAAAAGTATACTGGGCATGCCAAAATGGCACAACCCAAAATCTGTGACGTGGCAGATGTCGTGCACCACAGGCCATGGATGACAGAGGTGAGCAATGCCTGCAGAGATGCATTCAGGGGAATAGATGTGCAACCGTTTAGCAACTAACCACCCAGATGAACCAAGGAGCTACCAACAGTGTCTCCTCAATGATGGTTCAGCGAACGTTGCTGCATATGGGCCTCTGCAGCAGACACCTGGTTAAATAACCTAGGCAGACTGCAGTTCATAAGCCCAAAGGCTGGAATTTGTATGCCAGAACCACAACTGGACGTCCACTGAGTGGCAACACATGGCTTTTTCCGATGAATTACATTTATGCTCCATGGGACGGATGAACATTGGTGAATACGGAGTGAAACAATGGAAAGCAAACACTCTGCAACAACTGATGGAATGGCCAAGCTGGAGGAGGGAGCATTATGGTCTGGAGAATATTTTCGTGGCATTCTCTGTGTGCACTCATCACTGTGGAAGGTACATTGGATCAACAGAAATACGCATCTGTCCTTGCGATCATGTCCAGCCCTACATGTGAACTGTTTTTCTTCAGAATGATGGTATCTACCAGCAGGACAATGAAAAGTGTCGTACAGTTCGCAGTGTACGTGTATGGTTCAAAAAGCACCAGGATGAGTTTACCGTACTCCCCTAGCCAGCAAACTCCTCGAACTTAAACCCAAATGTGAATCTGTGGGACCACCTTGATCGGATTGTTCGTGTCATGGATCCTCAACCGCATAACCTAGCGCTGTTGGTCACTGCACTGGAGTTGGCATGGCTCAACATCCCAGAGAACACCTTCAAGAACCTAACTGAGTCTCTTCCTGCACATCTTGCAGTGGTCTGCTCTGCTAAAAGTTGTTTTACTGGCTTTTGACAGGTGGTCATAATAATGTGACTGTACTGTGCATATGGAAGGCATTCTAAGGTGCTATGTGTAATAGTGTACTGAATGGTTAAAAATACTAATGGTCAGTTTTTCACCATGAATGGTCATTACCATGCTTCCACACTCTGCCTATTCATCTATCTTAGTGCCCACAATTCTTACTACTCACAAAACAAAATCTGCAGTATAACTAATTTATATGAATAAATGAGGCAAAAGCAGCACTAAAGGCAATTGTAAATGGTTTCAAAAAGGAAAGGTAATATAAGTTTTTCACAAAATTAAATTCTAAATTAAGAGAAACCAAATAATATATCACTAGATCAGAAAACTAAAATATGAGATTAAGACAGTGAACTTCAAAGCACAGCTCTTCATAAAAATGTAATATATTTATGCAAAAATACATAACATAATGTATGCAGAACTGTATAAGCACTGGAAAAAGTTTACTATAGAATAAAAAAATCATTTTGCAAACAGTTCGGCATCAGTATTTTAAGCTATTCACAGAAGCGAAGAAATATATGCCAAGCCCTTAAATTCATGGATCTAGTACAGATTATCTTTATGGATTAAGATTTGAAAAATTTCGAATATTTTATCAGAACACATATGTGCTTGCTCTTGTGTTTGTGCGTGCATAAATATTACAGATAATTTTGAAAACAAATTATTATTAATGTTATAAGAAAAAAAAAAATGGTTCTGTTGAAAATTCTTTTGGTTGCATTACAAAGACCACAGAATTTTCAAATTTTTTTTTTTAACAGTGTGAATTTTGTTTCAATACATTAATTTACTTTTGTTTTAGTTTTGGTTCAATGTTTCTGAAACAATCACATTATTTTGTGCTTTCCTGTTTGTAAGCTTGAGAGGGATTATCTTTATGGATTAAGATTTGAAAAATTTCGAATATTTTATCAGAACACATATGTGCTTGCTCTTGTGTTTGTGCGTGCATAAATATTACAGATAATTTTGAAAACAAATTATTATTAATGTTATAAGAAAAAAAAAATGGTTCTGTTGAAAATTCTTTTGGTTGCATTACAAAGACCACAGAATTTTCAAATTTTTTTTTTTAAACAGTGTGAATTTTGTTTCAATACATTAATTTACTTTTGTTTAAGTTTTGGTTCAAATGTTTCTGAAACACATCACATTATTTTGTGCTTTCCTGTTTGTAAGCTTGAGAGGGTATTAACATAGTATATTATTTTCTTTATATTATATATTCAATCAAATGTCACTAATCCGGACCTCAAAGCTACAAACTTTCTGAGGATGCGTCAACGCATAATGCGTTGACACATGCGTGTAATACCTTTACGCATGCACATAATACGTTTACGCATGAGCGTTTAATGTATAACGGACGGTATAAGCTAAGCTAAAATTATCCAATTATCTATTTCAGGTAATGTTGCAGATTGCATTGCTTCTTAATCTTTGAATTGGATTCGGCTTTTTATTTTTTGCAGACAGTTAGAGCAATTTTATAAAAGTAAGTGTGAACTTTCGATTATGTCAAATAGAATTTCTGATGCTGGAGATGCAAAAGGATCTACAAAGGGAAAGCATGTTTTGATGTCCATCAAACAAAAAGTGGAATTGCTGCAAAAAATGGATAAAGGCTCCTCTGTTTTTCTAACCATTCTAAAATCTGTTTATCAATTTCACGCTGCTCTTCGCAGGAGGAGGACGTCGCGTCGCGCAATGAACTGGAAGTTGATCTATCAGCACTATCCTTATCTTCAGGGCAGATGATTTTATTTTATTCAGCTTATAATTTCTTACTACATGTAGTATTTCATCTCCATGTACTCCGTCTTTGATATGAATAAAATCAAATTTCTCATCATTATAAATATCACAAATGCTTTTTTTTTTTTTTTTTTTTTTTTTTTTTTGTAAATTCTGATACTCTTTAGATCATAATTGCTCTTTATTTCATAAATTACGGTTTCATATTTTTAATTTTATAATTTCCGTATGCCATCTTACCAGATTTAAACTGATGATCTATAATCCAGAAAAATCTATAATCCAGAATCGTCGAAGGCCCTGACGAGTCCGGATTAAAGACTTTTGACTGTATTATTTTACTGACTTGTTTTATTTTTATTTCAGTTTGTGTTCTTCCTATTAGATTGTTGCCTATCTTCTTTTGATTTAACTATTATCTCATGACTATAAATATATAAAGGTTGGTCATATAAAAACTTCCTCAATATATAAACATCTAGTGGTTATCCACTCAACCAATCACATTTAAATTTCAGATATTGTTATTTGAAGGTATGGACTTGAGACTGAGATGATTTAAAACAAAACAGCTCACACAGTTATGGTTTTTACAAAAAAAAAAAAATTCACTATAATTTTTCAAAATTTTTTCATTGCAATTTTTTTTAATTGCTAAATTGATCAGCGCACTGAAAAAGCATAAATAGCATTGGAACAATACACATATGATGAAAATTGCCTGTATAGAAATTTGTAAATAGGTGCATGCCACTTGAATTGGGAATGTCAACTTCCAGAAATGAATTTTTTGGGTTGATGAAAATCCTCGTAATGTGGCCCCTGCACCTTTATACGAAGCTAAAGTGACTGTGTGGTGTGGCATTACAAGCAAATTCATTCTCAGTTTGACTTCTCCGAAGAGGTCACTTCCTAAGGTGCTCAGCACATGCTAGCAACGTGCTCACCATGAGCTAACAACATGCTCAACAATAAATGTTTGGTATACAGCACGTTGCAGAATTATATAATTTCAGAATTGCAGCAGTGAAATGTCATTGATGACACTGTATGAATGAAAGATGGTGCTTCTATACACATTGCATTATGCTTTCGGAGGGCTCGAACAACACTTTGGAGATAGAATAATCTATAAATTTGCAGTTTCATGGCCACCATAATCTCTCGACCTCACACCGATGGATTTCTAGCTCTGGGGTTATCTGATATCTAGGGTATACACATCTAATCCATGAGATTTATCTGAATTGAAAAATGCCATAAAATGTGATATTATACAGATTCCTCCTGTAATTTTATGTTTGGCATTGTTGGCAAATTCTCATGTGTAATGTGTTATCATCAGCGAAGATGGGCACATTTAAACTTATAAATGCAATAAAAGTTTTTTTCGCTCTCTTCTGTTGTGTTGTCACTAGTTCTTTACATTGCTCTTATTTGCAAATGTTTTATAGAGGCAGTTTTTTGCTTGTATGTATTGTTCCAATGGCATTTATGGTTTTTCAGATCATTATGTGCAGGAAAAGAAATGGGTATAGCCATTCAAAAATTTCAAAATTTTTTCCACTGCGGCTGTAACCTCTGAGAGTTCTATCATTTTAAATCAATTTTGAGTTTTTATTTAGATTAGTTGAGCAAATAGG